TGAATATATGCCAGATCACAAAGGGAAGGGCTCTTATACCATGCTAAGAAAACTTTATGTTCATCTATGCTTATGTGGAGCCATTAAGAATTTTTAAAAGAGAAACCACATGATCAGGTACGAATTTAGTAAGCCAATACTAGCAGCAGGATAGAAGGCAGATTCGAAAGACAAGAAATTGAGGAACTAAAGACAGAAGAATCAGGTGAAAGTAGACCTTTAACCTATTTTATACAAACAAAGCATGACTGAACTAAGACAGCAAAATGGAGAAACAGAGTTTTGATAAATGTTAAAGCAGATTTGATAAACAATAAAATGTAGGGAATGGTAAAGAAGAAAAAGTTGAAGATACCCATTAAGAAATCTAAGGTATCCTGCTTGACTGGCTGGCTGAAAACAAATTTCTTTGTCTTCCAATTCACAGGACTCATGAGCAGAATGTTCTTTCCAACATTACGATTATTCATACAGGCTTCAGTTTCTATTTAAAAGTCAGACTATAAAAAAGAGCATAATTACCTTCACAAGATCTAGCTCTCAAACTTCAAACACTAAACAGTGAATTTGGAGGTGAGGGTAGAAGAAAGATCCTGGAAAAAGGTGGCCTAAGAGATTCACAGACTGAGGTAGACCCACTAAGAGGAGGCTGGGTGGGACTGAGGATCATGATGGCTAACCTCCAAAGGTATGTCAGTCAAGTTTCTGTCTGGATAGTAAGCAGAACAGAAAAGTAGGTCACAATCTGGGTACAAAAAAATTAATGAAAATGCTTGGAACAAAACTCTCGAGAGCAATCAAGGCAGGGAAGTAAAACTACAATTCATTTAGTCCTTTGCAGAAAGCATTCTTATTGAAATATTTTGATAGCACATTAAAATGTCACAATTTTGTTATGAATTTCAAAATAATTTATGTATTCATTTATTGTTTATGGAACAAAACTATCAGAAATCACAAAAAGAATTTTTACTGAATTATGACATATTTGTATAGACTTTTCAACTTTCAGTAAACTTTGGCATAAATCACATTAATACTGTCCTCAAGGGGAATGCTATGTTTTCTATATAGTGATACATCCTGATAACAGAAGCGGTATACATGTTACTGAAGACACAAGAAGACTTAGAAAAGCTCGGAAAAGATCAAATTTCACAGTGGTTAATGACTCAAAACTTTCTGGGGAATACTCTTGAACCAGAACTCAAAAGGTAGCTTTTCATAGAGCAGAAGTAGGAGAAGTTATCTGAAGCAAAATAAATGGCCTGAGTCAAGCTATGGAGCTGAAAAGGCAACAAAAATATTTGTAGTTAACTATGTGCAGAGTACTAGCCCTGGAAAAGCTTCATGGCCAATAAATTAAACCAGTCTCTCACATTTCCACTTAGAACTGCAATGGCATTAAGCCTAAGAAAAATTCTTGAAAACAAAAACTGTAGTTCTGAGCTGGATGTGGTGGCCCAGGCCTGTAATCCCAGCACTCAGGAAGTTAAAATAGGAGGACTGCTGTGAATTCTCTGCCAGCCTGGACTACAACAGTGAGTTCAAGGTAAGCCTGGTAACACAGTGAGACCCTATCTCAAAAGTCAAACAAAGCAAAAGAACAGGTTGGAAAAGTTTCTCAAATTTAGTTTTTAGGGAATGATTCACTCCACCCAATACCTGTTAACATTCTACAGCAGTAATGTTCCTGTATTCTTTGGGGTTGCTAGCCTGGTACACAAGGCACTAAAGATGGCCCTGAGGTTGGCTGATTAAAAGAACCTAACCATGAAAGAATTCTAGTTGAGGTGAAACAAAGGAATGATCTAACACTAGCTTCTGAGAAAAATAAAATGATTGCATTTATTAAAAGAATGTACCAAGTTGAGACTGAAGGCAGAGACACCACTTAGTTTTATAACTCCTGCAACAAATAATAATGGGGCTTGGAGTGTATCTCAGTGGTAGAGCACCTGCCTACTATACCCAAGGCCTTGGATTCAATCCCCAGTATCACAAAAGTCATCATAATCATCAGAAACCTAAAGCCACAGTGAAAACAAAAAGAACATATATTCAGGTGTCACAGAGAAGAAAGATCAATAAATCTGGACTTATGGGGAATTAAGGAAAGGTCAATGATTGTAAAATTTGTTTCTTCCTCTATTTTTAGTGGAAAGACCGACTTTCTAGAAAATGGAAAGTCAATATAACAAGGTAATTGACAATACAGCGGGAGAAATAGGTGGGCATGTTGCATAGGTAATGATCCCAAAATATATGAATAGAAATATCTATCTAGTAGTCAACTGAAGCCACTGAATTCCTTTTGGGATATGGTCATATTCTTTCTCCCATCTAATTTCACACTGAGAGAGAGTTCATTTCTTGTCTCCCTTTCATAACCAAGAAATTAACAATACAAAATGAGAAAGAAAGTAGTAAATTAAAAATAAGGCACTTATTTACTAATGACCTATAAACAGAACAATCAACCATTATTTCAAACTAAGTGGAACATGGAAATTAGATGTATAGCACACACATTCTGAATAGCCTAAATAATTAATTTGATATGTATAAAACAAGACATTGAGGATAGCCTTTGTAAAGCAGCACAGTATTTTTAAATCTACATAAACCTCTGAAGAAACTTAATTCAATAACTCAACTCCAAAAGAGTCTAACATAGTCTCTCTCATTTTTTTTTTGAGGTAAATTCAGATCTAAAGCCCTCAGAAAAAAAGGAGATCACCAAAGAAACTGACAATATTCACTGTATATTTTGATATGGAATCCAAGAGTCAAACTCAGAGTAGAGTACAGGACGGTAGAACAGCACAGCATAGAACAGAACAGAATAAAATGAAATAGTGGTTATCAGGGCCTGGAAGGTTAGAGTATGACAAAACAGAGAGGCTGGTCAAAAGACAGTAGTAGTTAGGAAGAGTAAGTTTCAGTGATTCACTGCACAGCACAATGACAACAGTTAAAAATAACATCCTATACAAGATATAATGGTACAGACTGAGTCTGCAACAGAAAGATCACAAATCCAAGGCCAGCCCTGGTAACAGCAAAACCCTGTCCCAATAGAACATATTTTAAAAGAGTTGGGGCTGTAGCTCCGTGACAAAGCACTTGTCTAGTATGCCAGGCCCTAGGCAAAGTTGGATCCCCAGTGACTAACACATGTACACACACACATACACAAATGGCACATCTCAAAATTGCTAAAAGAGTAATTTAGTTCACACAACAACAACAAAAAAAAAACCTGACTGATGGACAGATTAGTTTGACTTACTCTAAAACATATATATTTATCAAAGTATCATAAAACTGGCTTGTCTCAGTTCTGACCCCTGTTTTAAGATATTGGGTAAGTTAAATTCAGCCTTCAGTTTCCACATCTGTAAATAGGGACAATAAAAGTACATTACAAAAAGCAAAGAAAACAACAAAGTACTTATTTCACGAAATTGGTGTAAAAACTGAGATAATCTACAAAAACTTCTTAGGAAATATATTGAACCATAGAATGTGGTCAATTCTTAACACTGTATCATATTATGCATTTGACATGCCTTTTGATAAGTCTGACTAAAAACTAAGCTGGAGATGCTACAAACCAGTGAAAGTGGCCAAACCCACAGGATACTGCTTCAATAAATGACCCACCATAGAGATGAAATCTGACTTCCTGAGCAGTCTGAAAATTATTACCAACATGTCACAACAGGAAGTGGAAAGCCTATCACCAACACGATCTGGAAAATCGCCAATTTTCTAACATTAAACCTGTAACCTCAACAAATCTGTCCCTCTGAATTGTACATATATCCAAATCCAAGTCAAATATTTAAATCCCTAACGAGATATATATGACTGACAGAACATGCTAAAGTACAATTTTCATTACTACACATTCACACTGAGCTCTTAAGAAAGTTTTGACCTGTCATTCAACAGTTAAGTGAGAAAGAGAAAGAAAAGAATGTGGGGGGGAAAAAAAGAAAGAAAAGGATTGGAGACAAACACACTGTCTTTAAAAAATGGCTTTCCCTATCAACTAGAGGCTGTATGAGCATATACAATTTTAGAACATATCTATAGGTAAAAACATAGTTTTCAAGTCCTAAGACCTAACAAGAACACAATTAGTAGTAGCAATAGTAATATCTTTTAAGATGAAAGTCCACAATATCTACATAAGCATTTAAAGTTAGGTATGTACTCTTGAACTAAGGACTATTTTGTAGAGACTTACAAACGCACATAGCACTGACAGTTAAATTATCTCCATATAGATCTAATCAGGAAAATAATCTAAATTAACTCTTTACGAAGAGTTTCTGGGAAGTCAACAAACAATAATATAAGCTATGATGCCACAGGGACTAAATTGAATGGCTCTAAACGTTTATGTTTGTCTAAACTTTTTAATTACATATACATAAAGATATAAAGGTATGCTCACTATTGACTCAATTGTCATGATCAAGATTTTTTTCCCAAAGGAAACAAATGCTAGCCTCTATTAGGCAACATGTCAAATGTAATTATCTTCTGTGCTCCACATTTTTCAAATGCCATACAAATACCCATACCACATGAAAAGTTAATTTCTGAGACCCTAAGGTAGTTTATGGTCCCACAAGTTTACCATGAAAACACAAGTATACAAGCAAAACGTTTTTATATACCCATATAAATCTAAAGATAGAAAATGGATATTATCTTTAAATTTGGGTAAGTTTAAAGTAAAACCCACTCTAAGTTCAAAATTAATCTTTTCCTAGTATCTACTTCCATTCTATTCAAAGTTCCTTCCATGGTTCCTGAACAAAATGAGTAAAATTTTAAAGTACGAGGGTATACGTGTAACCAGGGTGGGTTTACACCCCGTAGGCACATGTGCTGGAAAAAAACCAACACGAGAGCCCTGGCTTCACGGCTGACCCGAAATGTGAACATGACAGCTAACCAATCTTGGCTGATAAAATGCAACTCACCTCGCAGCTCAGAGACATAGCAAAATCGGAGGCTGTTTTTTGTGCTGCCTTTGGATTCTGCATCTGTTTCAAACCTAACACCTTAGGCTACCCTGGGAGCTTCACCTGGAGAACGCTTGACACACAACGAAACCTACACGATTTAAAAAATACCTGGTGTTTTCTACTGAAGAGGTTACGTAAATTTTGCCAGGTGGGACTTTTTTATCCTCTTTCAAACACAGGAGCAGCATTAAGTTTAAATCCTCTTGTTTTGAAGGACCCTGAGTCAACCTGCTTCTGTCCAAAATTAAAATAAAAATCCCCAGCCTCACTTTCCTCTCAAAAGACTAAAACTGAATCCATGATCCAACTCTGGAGGAAAGCAAGAAGGCTTTCAAGCTACCACACCTCTCTTCCTCATTTTCCTGCCTGATTCCGGGTTGCGGGAGAACTAGAACTGAGACGGGGTCTGTGGTTCCGGAACAGACCGGCCCTGACCCACAGTAGAGGAAGAGAAGCTGCGGGAATCCGGAGTCCGACAGGTACGTCGCCAGCGTCGGCGCGTGACGTCACCGCGTTGACGTGAACGGCCGTTCAGCATCCGGCCGCCCCGGCACATCCTCCTCCGGCGCTCTCAGAGAGAAGCACGTCGGCGCCGATTGGGCCGTGAAGGGACTGTGGGCGGGCTGGGGCTGGGGCTGGGGCTGCGACTGGGCCCTGAGGAGGGGGCGGAGTAGGGAGCGAGCTGAGAGCGCCGAGGGCTGAGCTGGGTGTGAAGGCTTCCCTCTGCAGTTAGCTCACGTCCCACACGCAGTGCTGTTCGCCCTGCTGGCGACCTCGGAACGGGACCAGAGGCGGCCGCGGTGGGAGAGGCCTGGCGGGAGGGGCCTCTGCGTGCGGCGCCCCAGGGCGTCGTCGCAAAGTGATAAGTCCACTCTTGCGGGAGATCCCTGTGCGACAGCTTTGGAACAAGCCCCATTGGAAGAGCGCTGGCTCTAAAATTTACAGACATTGGTTTCAAATTTAGACCCACAGCGGCTGCTGCCTCGCCCTGTAGGTCGCGGCAGGTGTACAGTGGTGTCGCGCCAATTTTATGTGTAACGTACTTGTACGTACATGTAAAAAAAAAAAAAAAAAAACTGGTAATCGAGATTTACTCAACGCACATTTTCAAAACAGTGCTTAGAAATTAAGTATTTTGGAGAAAATATTATCCGAGGTTTTTACATGTATATTTATTGCTCGTATGGTGTCAGAGAATCCAGTGTGTCTTCATTCCCGTGCTCAAACAGCTATATGCCGACTCGGGCGCGTGGATGCAGGGGAGAATGCCTGGCCACAACTGAGCTTGTCAGTTTGCTGACTAGCAGGTGCAGGTTTTGCACTTACTAGTTGGGACCTGTGGGACCAGTATCGGTTTCGCCACTGGGTGGCAGAACTAAGACCCGTGAATGGTTATGTAGTAGGTCATATATAACTTGTGTATATGTCTATGTATTATGAATTTGAGTATATTTTGGTCTTTACAGCTGCGTATATGCTTTACCAAATTTTTATCATAGGTTAGTGATTTAGGTGTGCTTAACATATGAGTTCTGGGTGGCTTTGGAGGGGGGTTGTTTTTCAGACAGGGCCTTGCCATGCAGTTCAGGCTAGGCTTAAACTCACTGTATAGGGCCAGGTGTGTTTGGTGGACCCCTATAATCCCAGTACTCAGAAGGCTGAGGCAGTAGGATGGCTCCAAATTCAAGACTAGCCTAGGCTACGTAGTGAGTTCAAGGCCAGTTTGGATTACAAAATGAGACCCTATCTAAAAAGAAAGAAAGAAAAAGGAAAAAGTTCACTAAATAGCCCAGGCTGGCATCGAACTAAAGATCCTCATGCCTCAGCCTCCCAAGTGCTAGGATTACAGGTGTGTGCCACGACACCTGGCAACACATGAGTTGTATACATTTTTATTTATTCATGACAGCTGAATATGCTAAAACAGTATAGTCTTGAGCTTCAAAGCTGATATATTGCCTATGATGATTAGGGGGTGCTCACAATGCAGTCAAGCTGCTTCTGACTATGTTCATTACTTTCACCAAAGTAGAATTTTTGGAGTGAAGCAGCAGGACCCAAGTTTGAGGCCAACCTGGGCAATTTAGTGACAATCTCAAAAACAGCTGGGGATGTAGCACAGTGCTCCCTAAATTCAGTTCCCAATACCACACACACAGACACGTGCACACACAAATGTAGAATTTGTGGAGCCTGGTAATACTGAACCACAATTTTCTTTTTCTTAGAACTCTATTAGGGAACTTCAGTATTTTTAGAAAATATAAAAAGTCAAATAAAACTTTTCTAAACGAAGTGGAATTTTCCATAAGAGATTTGCAGGTGTTTTATATTTTTTCTCTCATTGAAGATGTATGTAGCCTTATTTTGGAAAGAAGCCCCTAGATTTTTATTATAATGGACCTTATTCACAGTCTGTTAATCATCTGCTTTCATGAGTATAAAAAAATCCTTTTATATCAGTGTCTTAGTTCCTTCAGGGAGAATTAGTCCAAGAATCAAATTGACAAGAGCAAGTGTACTTGTACATCTACTTCTTGCAATATCACTTGTATCGTGCATGACTTTTTCTTCTACAAGAATTTGCTGTAAAATACGCGGTTTCTGGTATAAATAACTATTAACACTAGTGATTCTCAAGATTCACTTTCTATCAAACCATCTAAGGAGCTTCAAAAAAATAATCTTGCCTAAGCCCCACTCCCAGAATTTTGTCTTAATTATTCCAAAGTTGGGTTTAAGCATCCCCATTTTTTTTTTTGTCTTTTTCCTTTTTATCGGTACCAGGGATCGAACTCATGACTGCCTGCTTTCAAGGCAGGCGCTTATGCCACTGAGCTAAACCCCCAGCCCCTAAGCATCCCCATTTTTAATTCTTCATAGTTGATATGTGAGACACGGAAACACTTAGACTTGGAGCAGTATATTTAAACAATGTGCTATGTGCTAGCTCAGTGATAAAGCTTATATCTGTGAAATGACTTTATGATTACTTGGGGGGTTTTTTTCCCCCCAGAACATCTGGTGATGTTAAATTTCCCCTTTTAAAGAGTTGGCTGGAAGGAAACACAGACCACGGGCAGGTCTTTGGAACACTTTAGGTACCATAATGTGAGTACTCCAGTTTGATCTCATTCTTCCTCTGGGTTACAGAGGGGATCCTGCTTCATTGACATTTCTTTCTGAATTGCTTATATCTTAGTTAGTTTTTTCACTGTTAAAACAAAATACCTGACACCAAAAGTTAAAGTTATTTGAGCCTAGTTTGTAGAGATTTCAGCCCATAGTTGGCTTGTTCTAGGGTAGGGGGCATGCCAGAGGGGAAAGGCAGAGGAGAAACAGTCCATGGAATAGCCAGGAGAAGGCAGCAACATCAAGCCTCCTTTTCTATTGAGGCAACAAAGTTTTGGGGTGGTACCACCCACACCCAGGTTGGGCCCTTCCATTATCCACATCCAATTCTATGATAAACCAATGAATGAACTAATCCAGTACCACATAACCTAGATCCTTAAAAAAACACACCTATGAGTGCATGAGGCCTTGGGGAGACATGTAGTTAACAAGCCATAACACTTTTTTTTAATGAAGGTGATTAAGGAAGAGTTCCTTAGTTCTGATATAATTCCTAGTAAAGATTTTTTTTACAGACTCAACTGTGAGATTTTCTCACACAAAAAGAAATGATGGTCTGGCTGGGCATAGTAGCTCATGCCTTTAAACTGGTGACTTGAGAGCCTGAGGCAATAAGATGCAAGCTGGTGACCAGCCTGGGTAAGTTACTGAGACCTTGTCTCAAACAACTGTGGGAATGTAGTTTAGCAATCTCAGTACCACAGGAAGAAAAAAAACTTGACAAGACTATCTGGTACCTATCCTCTAAACTGCTTTTATAACCTTAAGAGAATAGGAGTTTGTACTAGTACAGTATCTTGTTATAACAGATGCCACAAATGAATGGTTTGAAACAAATGAGTTCTGAAGGGCAAAGCCTGTCATAGGTCTCATTGGTTTAAAGTCAGTGTTGGGCTATTTTCTTTTAGGGACTTTGAGATAATCTTTTTAGGGCCTTATTTTTTGACTCATTACTCTGTCCTCCCATCTCCAAAGCAGCAATGGCAGGGTGAATCCTGATATATAATTATAACATGATGGATATTGACTTTTCAGAGATTTAAGGTGCATGAACATCTTTAAGGGACTATTATCCTGCATACGAAAGCATACTATATTCATCTTCTGTCTTAGTATGTATTGCACAAAGTGCTCAGTATACAGGAAATATTTATATTGAAAGACAGTGTTTGTTCTTTAAACAAAAAATGTTGCTAGAACTAAATTTAGGTAGTATTAACAAAAACTTTTAACAATATTCAAATTCGATTTACTCCTCCTCCACCATCCAACCTTAATACCTCAAGGAAAGGAAAAAGAAGATGAACTTATAGTGGTAAAAGTTTAGCAATTTCATCCAGGTCTAGAATAACTTTGTATTCCTGTTTTCATTTGAGTCCTGTGATATGGCACACAATTTTCCAATTTCATGTGATTTTTTTTTTTTTACAAATCCCTGCCTGACCTTTCGAGAGAGCTGATAGATTCTGAACTAATTTAGCCAATCACATTCTCAAAACAATCCCACAAAGTGGTCCCTTCCTCATGTCCTGCACAAGTAAAGGCTCAGTGTTTTATTTCATATTTTGCTATTTTTCTCAGTGTTTCATTTTACTCTTCTACATATAGATCCTGATCTCTCTATTTAGTTAACTGACTCTTCTTTGAGCTCTTGAGGGTAACCCAATCCAGAAAGCCTGAAACAGAAGAACTAACTAGATAGTATTTTATCTTCGTATACTGAACTAGGTCTATCAGATAAAATTCATTAAACTGCTACTGTTTAAATCCCAGGTATAGATGTAGTGTGATCAGAACATACAGTGAATGCTTTAAAATTTTATTATAGTAAAAGACACATTGGAATTAATCCCCCCTCAAAATATTCCCTCTTCCTTTGAATATAATTTTTCTATCATGCTTGCCACTTTCTGATGCAGTACTGGAAGTTTTCTTTCATGTCTTTAAGAACTGTGATAAATACAGTGAATGCTGCTGCCAATACAGGGAAAGGCAGGCTTGTTTGTAAAAACATACAGTGTGCCCTCATGCACCTTATTCACTGGATCTGGCACCATGTGACTTTGCTCTTTCTCCAAATCAAAATGAACATAACAGGTATATATATGTTCAGGACATACAGGCATCCTCAACAGCACAACTAAAGACATTCATAAAAGGACTCCTATTCAGAACTACTTCAGAAAGTAGCAAAACCAGTGGGATGGATCTGTTCAAAGGAAGGGAAAGTGTTTTGATGAGAATTTGTAGCAATATATCCTTTAATACACTTTTAAAACATTTTTAATTCACCATATTTTTTATTATACCTCATCTTTTTGGCAAGATAGAAAACCAAAGTAATTGACAGAATTGACCATGTGCGAATTTTATAAATCTGTATGACTAAATTATTATAAAACAGTAAGTGACTGGCAGAAAACATTTGTTCCATAATATGATAGATGGTTAATTTCCATGTGTAAGTGATAACCCCTACAAACATAAAACGATAATCTTCTAGGAAAGGACCAAAGGATTTGAAAGGTAATTATAGGAGGAAATTAAAATTTTCTACAAAATTAGAGAAAATGCTGTGGAAATGGGAACTTTTGGTACAACACTATTGAGAGTGTGATTTATTATGCTGCTTGAAAGTAACCCAGTGTATTAGTTACCTTCCTCACTGGAACCAAATACCCGAAGCCTAAAGTTAAAGGAGGAAAGGTTTATTTGGCTTACAGTATATAGAGGTTTCACTCCATAATTGCTGGTCCCAAGGCAGGATGGCATGGCAAAGGGACACTGCAGAAGAGAAGCAGTAGCAGCAGTCAGCATCAAGCTACAAGCAGCCAAAGCAGCAGCTTTCTGCCCCTTTTATATTCTGTCTGGATTACCTGGTTTAGGGTAGGTGCTGAACCAATCAGTGGGCTAATTTAGTATCACATGCCCTTAAGCCCTGTGACCCAATCCTAGCATTGCACAATGAATCAGTCACACACTTCAGATTCAGCCTCCTCTGAAAACCCCCCACCTATGACTGCATGAGAGTTTAGGGGGACATCTAAACACCAGTATTACACCCAAGATGTGGCAGATTCTTTCCAAACATGATTGTGATTGACTTTGATCTTGTAAATTTTGTCTATGAACCTTATTTTGTCTATAGATATGATAAAAACAATGCCACACTTTTTCTTAACCTAGCCTTTAAAAGGAGAGGCAATTTCCATGTCTTAAAGTATGAATGTACTGAGACTATGACATTGTAAGCAGTCCAAATCAGTGATATTTAGAGACTACAGAGCAACACTGAAGCTCTAGATGTGTGAGTGAAGCCTCTTGGACTGCCTGGTCCAGCACAGTTGCTAGCTCAATGGAGTTAAGTGAATTATTGCAGTTGAAATCATGTGGAACCAAAAAACCATTTAGCAGAACCCTCCTGGACTTCTCACAAAATTATGAAAAATGATAAATTAGTGTTGTTTTAAGTTGCTAAGTTTTAGAATGGTTTGTTACATAACGATAGATATCCAAAGCATGTGAGGACTTATTAAAGTAAAAAATGAATACTTTTGACACAGTAAATCTACTGTGAATCTATCCCTTAGAAATCTGTACCTTAGAAACAACAATGCCATTGGAAAGAATCTGAGTTTACCGGATGGGGACTGGCTGAACAGATTTGGATACCACCATGTCTTGGCATGTTAATGTCATTGATGCGAATTAATTGATCTCTGGAGAGATGTTTATGATACACTGTTAAATAAAAATTGCTGGTTGTAAAACATTGTGTGTACTATGACCCCATTTAAAGGTTTAAAACTATTTACATATTTGTTTTTAGAAACTAAGAGAAAAATGTAGGTGATTTCGGTAAAACTGTTACTGTCAATTTCACAGAGGAATGTACACAGAGGTGAACTCTGAGGCTGGAGAAGACTCTTTTGCATATGCTTATGGGCTGTTTTAAGGAAAGCATCAAAATCTGCATTTGCTTGGAAGAAAACTCAAAAAAAATATTTAAAGAAAAAGAATAAAAGTCAAAAAGATTACTATTTTAAAAACATTAGACTGTATAATGGTATATAAACCAAAAAGGGAAATCATCAGATAATTCTCTAAATTTTAGTAGAGTCACCTGCTTTACTCAACAATATATCAAGGACATTTTTCTGTGTCAATAAAAATAGATACTGCTCACCCTCTGTCATGGCTTTAGAGTGTTAAATTATTTGACTATATTGTAATTTATTTAATCAATACCTTATCGTTAAACATTTACATTGTTTCTAGTTTTTCCTAGATATGAACACTAGTAGTTATCGTTGTGTATACATCATGGACTACTGGTCCTAGAATTGAAACTGCTGAGTTGAAAGATATGCAGACTACCCACACAGACTGCAACCATTTATATTCCCACCAATAGTTTATAATAGGATCCTAAAGAATTATTATCTAAGGACATATCTGAATAGCCATTCCCCTTGTAAGCAGAAAAAGAAATTTATCTGATTACCAATTGGCATTGTTTTCATACTTTTCTGTATAAATGGATGTGGGCGGAACTAGAGTTATTGTGCATTCAGATACCAAATTCCTTCTAACTGGCAGCGGGAGAGATCTCAGCCTAGAAATGAAAGGAATATGGAGAATAACTTTAGTAGCTTCATGGAGATTGAAGGTATAAACTAAAGCAAATTTTCTCCAAGGTGCCCTTTTAGGTGACTTGCAGTGCCATCTTCTGGCAAAGAAATAAAACACTTCCAATTTCCGCTCTAGGCATAAACTGTTAAGTACCACAAAACAAGATTGGCATGACAACCCAGAGAAGGCTGTGTGTGTGTGTGTGTGTGTGAGTGAGTGAGACAGAGACGAGAGAGAGGAGAGAGAAGGGGGGGGGGAGAGAGAGAGAGGAGAGAGAGAAAAGAGACAGAGAAAGGGAAATAGGGCATGGAAAAAAGGAGGTGGATTTCTTTGAAGCAAAAATCTGAAATGTTCGACTTCTGAAACATTTCTTTTTTGGCAATTTCTAGTTTTTTCCACCGTAGCTATATACAACGTGAAAAAATAGGCACGATGCTACAGAACAACCAAGATATACTTCATGTTACGCTCCTTCAGCTTCAGATTTGAACTGGACAGTACCTTGAGGTTCCTTTACATAAGGCAAACCAACAGCTTAGTAGTCTAGTAGTAGAGATACTTGAGGTAACACTAGTGTTTCACTTTGGGAGAATCTATGTATCTTTGCAAGTCCTGACATGCAGAATATACATACACTTGGAATATACATACACATTATCAAACCCTTATCATACAATTTATACACAGTAGGTGTAAAGACATCGAAAATCACATTACTGTGTTTGCTTTTTAAAATGTCAAATCTTGCAAACGCTCCCTTGCTTTATTCGTCCAAAATAAATCTGGAAAAGGATTTTTAAAATTATTTTAAACGTGGTATCATTAAGCAGTCAGATCTCAAGGTTTAAAATCCCCTTCTTTGTATAATACGTACAGGAAAATGTTATTACACTTTTACTGATGAATCCTCCCCCTGATCTCTGCCTTCCCTTGCGCTCTTCATCTTCTTTCACAGCTTCTGTCCTCACTCCAGGAGCCCAAACTCCCGCTCCGCCCCCGCCCACCTCCGCCACGCGCCGGCTCCCGCGCGCTGACGTCACACGTCCGCGCCGGGGACGCGCTGGCCACTCCCCTTTCATCTGCACTCGCCCCAGGGTTTTGGGCACTAGGCTGTGCTGTCTGTGTCTTGAAGTCGTGAATAGTTGTTCCCCTGTTCCGGATTCTAAAGCCACTGTTGCCAGGCAGGAGGAGAGTGGCACTCAGGTAGTCTCGCAATCCCAAATGCTGCCCGTCCCCACCCCAAGGCCACTGGGGACGACCTCTGTGAGGGTGCAGAGACGGTAACCGGGACACTCCCCCTGCTGCCGCCCGCGGTTTCCAAGGGGGTCAGAAACCAGTTTGTCATCTCCAGGCAGTGTGGGTTTGTCTTCTGGGCGTTGGGCGAGGCTGGAAAGAGTCCAGCCTGAGGTTAGCCAGAGACGGGTGGCAGGAGTGGGAGTCTGTTGCTCCCTTTCAGTCTGGGCTCTGAGCTGTTGCTATTTACACAGGCTTGGTTTGTCTTTCAGGATGTCATTTTCAAAATGTAGGATGATGGCTCTGCCTTGTTAAGTCCAACAGGAAGACTACCACTTCTAGACTGATGCTGATTGGTCGCCACCGTTATTTCTGCTAACGTCCTTGTGTCACTGAGGTGAGTTAAACTTAGGAAGCAATGGCATGCAAAATAGTAAAATCATACTGGAAATGAGACCTGTATAGATTTGTTTGTTAGAGATTGCATGGATACTCACCTTAAGTGTATAGAAAATACTTTCATCTTACTAAAACGTTATTTGTCTAAAAAACTATTTCAAAGAAATCCTTGGGCATTTTTAAACACTAGGGAAAAGTGAATTTAAAATAATAATAGAAATCTTTGCATGGATAAGCATAAATTGTTTCGCTGCCTCTATCCTAAATTATCTATATTTTGATTAAGAAGAGATAATGAATAGAGTTATCCGGTTGCATTTATCTGTTTTCCTGATCTGACAGTTTTCATTTACAACGTAGCAAAAGTTATATCTTAAGAATTCATCATAACTTTTTTCCTTTTTGAGGGTAATGGTGGTGCTGGGATTGAACTCAGGGCGGCATGCATGCTAGACAAGTGCTGTATCACCAGGGTATCTTCCTGCCCTGATAACAGTTTTATACAAACTTTTCAGAACTGTGTAATAAAATTTGCTCCAAGAAGCAGAACATTTCTTTCACTACCAGGGCAAATTATACGGAAATATTTATGAAGGATTAAAAGTAGTATCTTATTTAAGCTAATAATGGCCTTTTCTTATGATGCAACAAATTGTAGAGATGAATGGAGGGGAACCAAATATGAAGAGAAGTGGTTCTTTGTTCCTGATTTAGATTTGTCTGGTGTTAGAGGATCTCCAGATTGATTTCATTTAAAATTGTCTATTCTGTTTTGTGGGAAAACAGGTTTTTGCACAGTAAAAGTCACTGTCAGGTATTTTGTAAAGGTTGTAGAACTTACCGGCAGTTCTTTTGAGGTCATGTTAATAATACATTGGCATTGTATTCCAAGTAAATTTTCCTCTGTCTACCCTTGTGCCTTCTTGTCCAAGTCATGAACATGACACCTTTTCATGAATATAAAGTCCTTATTTGCATTTTGACAGTTTGCACTACAGAACCTCTTAAGTGCTGTTTCAATAGACCTATAGAGAAGAAAACCAAATAATCCCATTTTTGTTTTCTGATTCTTTGAGTAATTATAAGTAAAGAAGATAAACTCAACCTCTCTCACATTTCAAATTGGTATTTATTGTTTTAGATAATTTATATATATGAACTGTGATTGTAAATAGTACCAAAAAACTTCTGTCGCCATCCCTTTACTAATGTTTCAAGACAACCTGTGTATCACATATCTAGAATAGCTAATGAGGGCTGAATGCCTATCAGTATGTGTTCCAGATGGAGGAGGATATGGCTTTTCATTCATGTTCTGTAACATTTTTCATGTGTGGTATAATTTTATTATATCAAACATTTCTTACTTGTGACTTTAAAGAAATTGTTAGTAAAACAGAAGGAAAGATACCTGATTTGGCTAAGACTGAGATAGTTTTTTTTCTGGAACAAAACACAGAAAACTTGATGCCATAGGAAAACTTTAAATGTCAAGGTGGGCAGTTTGGAAACAGAAAACTGTTCAATGATTTAAGTAAAATAAATTGTTTTAGCCTGTGTTCCTAATACTTCTATTAATATTTTAATTGGTTTGTTTATTTATTTATTTTGAGACAGGATCTTGCTATGTACTTCAGGCTGTCCTTGAACTTGTTGTGTAATACAGCTGGAATTTTACCGGCTGCAATCCTCCTGCCACAGCCCCTTAAGTGATGGAAATACAAGCATGTGTCACCACACCAGGCTATTGTAGTATGGTGGTGTGTTTTGAATATATAATATATTTATATGATTCAAAATTCAAAAAGTGCAAGAGATTGAAAAAAACTTCTTCACTACTCATTTCCCTTCCAGCAATTAGTGTTACCAGTTTATTGTGTATCCTTCCAGAGGTATTTCAGAAGTACCTTGGTTCATGAACTTAATTTGTTCCATGATTCTGGAAAAGGTGGCCACATTTGTGTTTGTGCGGGAAAGATGTCTGCAGTTGTGTTTGTCACCTGATGTAGTTTACAAACAAAAAATTTTGACAGACACTTGTGTTTGCAAACCAAGTTGTTTGCAAACAAAGGTGTTCATGAACCAAGGTACCATTGTATTTACACATGCAATTATGGGTATATATGTCTACAAATACACACATGTATAAATAAATGTAAATATAGATACTGGCATATGTATTTGCTTTTATTTGTGTGTGTCCTCTTATCTAGAATCAGTTGTCTGTTGGCAACCGTGGTCCAAACTGTTAAGTGGGAAATTTTAGAAATTAACAATTCCTAAATTTTAAATTACATACCATTCTGAGTGGTATGATGAAATCTTAAGCTATTCTACTTGGGACATGAATCATCCCTTTGGGGCAGGGGATTTAGCTCAGCGGCATAAGTACCTGCTTTGCAAGCAAGCGGTCGTGAGTTTGATCCTTGGTACCGGTAAAAATGAAAAAAAGACAAAAAAAAAATGAATCATCCCTTTGTGCAGCATATTCACTCTCCAAATATTCTACCTTCCCATCACTTAGTAGCCCTATAGGTGGTCAGGTTGACTGTCACATTATAATAGTGTTCAGGTAATCCTTAGTTTACTTAATGGCCTGAAAGTGCAAGACAAGTGATACTTGTCATTTGGAAAATACAAAGAAAATCTGTAAAGTGCTTCTTCTTTTTCTTTCTTTTTTTTTTTTTTTTTTTGTCTTTTTCCTTTTTATCAGTACCGGGGATCGAACTCATGACTGCCTGCTTGCAAGGCAGGTGCTTATGCCGCTGAGCTAAATCCCCAGCCCCATAAAGTGTTTCTTTAAAAATGTAATAGTTGGGCCAGGAATCTAGCTCAGTGGCACAAGCACTAGCCTGTCAAGTGCAAGGTCCTGAGTTCAATTCTCAATACCAAAAAAAAGTAATAGTAAACCATATATCTTTAGAGAGATCACATAATTTTTTTACAATATATTGTTATAATCATTCTACTTTATTATTGTTAATGTCATACAATGCCAAATTTATAAATTAAACTTTATCATAGGTACTTAAATATAGGAGAAATGTCCCCATGGATAAGGGGAGGCTATTGTGTACCACATTTATTATTTTAATCCTTCAAAAAAATCTAGTACATAGAAATTAATCTGTTCCAATATAAATCCTTCTTTTATTTTTTATGGATATTTAAGCTTTGCCCTTAAAATTACTATGTTAGAAGATTAGTTTACACATATCATTTTCAATACATTTGGGGTTTTTTTGTTTTGATTTCTTTTGGGGAGGGGACTGAGCACTAAATTTAGAGCCTTAGCTTTGATTTATATCCCCAGTCCTTTTTATTTTGTCTCCCACCCCTTTTTAATTTTTTTATTTTGAAGTAGGGTTTTATTAAGTTGTTGAAATACCCAGGTGGGGTTCAAATTTGGGCTCCTTCTTATCCTCCCAGAGTGCTAGGATTACAGGCATTTGTCACCATGCGGAGCTACATTTGGAACTAGTTATAAAGTTAATTCCTAGAACTAGAATCACTGAATCAAAGTGTGTGTTTTGTTAGATATCACTAAATTGTTTTATTTAGTATTTGAGGCAGTTTAAACAGCTACCATATTGTTTCTTTAAATCCTCCAAAACAGTACAATAATAAAGTTCCTGAATTTTGCCATTCTGAGGTTGAAAATAATATCTCTTATACTGTTTTCTTATTGTAGAAGATTATAACATAAAATTACCTCTTTCACTAAAAAAATTCTGATTCTTTTAAATAGGAGATGCGGTACCTTGGCACATTTTAACACCATTTACATTCCTTTTTGTTGTCAATTATTTTTCTTGTGGTATTGAACCAGGACTTTCTTCACACTGAGCTATATCCCCAGCCTTTAATTTGTGTGTGTGTGTGTGTGTGTGTGTGTGTGTGTGTGTGTGTATGCTACAAATCAAACCTAGGATCTTGTGCTTGCCATGCAGGCACTGTGCCACTGAGCTATATCCCCAGCTTTTTTTTGAGACAGGGTCTCACTGTAATTCAGGTTGGCCTTGGATGCACTTTGTAGGCCAGAGCTGGCCTTGAACTCACATGGATCCTCCTGCCTCAGCCTCCTGAGTGCTGAAATTATAGACATCTGCCACCATGCCTGACTCTTAAAAGTTTTTTGATATCAAGTTTTGCTGAGTTACACAGTTAGCCATTTTGGGCTCAAACTTGCAATTATCCTGCCTCTGCCTCTCAGAATGTTGAGTGAGATTATAGGTATGGGCCACTGTGCCCAGCTTGTTAACTTTCAATTTTATGTTTTTTATTCATTTTTCTATTCAATTTTTTCTCTGAAAATACATTTTCATTAGCAAAAGGAACTTTTGTTGAAGTGAGGTAAAATTTTTTTTGAATTGTCATTTGAATTTGACTTATATTAATTTATGCTGTGCTGAATTTTTGTGAGGTCATATTAATGCCTCAAAGTTTCTTTTATGATTATAAAAATCATTCTATATTTTATCACTAGAAGGTTTGTTTTTGGGGTTTTTTTGCATTTGTATTTGAATGTTTCATCAACTTGAATATAGGTTGAGGTACATAAGGAAGTAGGTCTAGCCTTATCCCTCATGGCTGTTTGTTTTCTTTGACCTATTTATTTCAAAATCTATGTTTTTCCTACTAATTTACAAAGTCTCCCTGATTACTCACCGAGTTTTTAAAATTTTTGACTGCTGAACTTTCTATGATGTGATTATTTATCTCATAATTGTAGTAGATTTGTGATTTGTTAACAACTAAAACGAATTTGCTTTTGCTGTCCTTTTTCAATATTTCTTGGCTGCTTTTGTTTTTGCTTCTTCTTTACTTTTTCTTTGTTTTGTTTTTGTCTTTTTGAGACAGGGTCTCAGTAGGCAGTTGAAGCTGGCCTTGAATTTACCTTGTAGCCCAGGCTGGTCTCAAACTCAAACGATCCTCTTGCCTCAGCCTCCCAAGTGCTGAGATTATAGGCATATGCCACCATGCCTGGCTTTATTTTTTTGTTTTGTTTTGTTTTGTTTTGTGTTTTTTGTTTGAGATAGGGTCTCACTATGTAGCTCATACTGGACTGGACCTCACTACCTAGCTTGGGTTGTCTGGAACACATGATCCTCCTGCCTTAGATGTCCTGGTACTGAAATTATAGGCATGCCCCATTGTATCTTACGGGTCATGCTTTTTTTTTTGTATACATTTTAAAGTTGGCTTGTCTAATCACACCCATCTCCAATGCTTGTGTTTTTATTAGAGTAGCATTAAATTTAGAGATTAAGAATTAAAATCTTTATATTTTTCTTCTCTCTTTTCCTTTGTGTGTTCTCCACTCCCCTGTTCTTTTGTTGAATATTTTCTTTTGATCCATGTAATGGTTTGTGTCTGGCTGTCTCCCCGAAGCCTCATACAGGCATGGGAAAGGCTTCTAGAATTTGTGATTGATTCATAGTCCAATGCTGGCCTTATGAGTGAGTGTTAGGGTGGGTGGCCTACATACAATATAAGGAATAGAGCCTTATCTTGTGTTCTTCCTTTTTACTCTTGTTGCTTTTACTGTTTTCCACCACCAAGAACTGCTACCCCTCTGCTAGGCTACCCTGCATTGGAGCCAGCTGAGTATGGATTGAAACCTCCACAAACTGTGGGCTAAATAAACCTTTCCTTCTTTAATTTTGGAGATGTCAGGTATTTTGTCCCAAAAATGAGACAAAACTAACCAAAACAGTCCATTTTCCAAGTTATTAATACTGTCTTTACTGGGTCCTATTTTCTATAATATCTATGAATAAGTTCTTAATTTCACATATTTTATATTTTCATTCTAGAATGTCCATTTAACTTCACACATATATTTAATTCTTTGTTAAAATTCTTCATCTTTAGAAATACGTCTTTTTTCCATCTTTGCTTTTTTCTAGTACATACTAATTATGGTAAAATATCCCATCTGATGACTTCATTTTTTAGTTATTTGTAAATCTTCTTGCTGTTTTTTTAGATGTTTCATAATTTTTAATTGGATGCTTGATGTAAATGAAAAGCCATAGAAGCTCTGAATCGTGTATCTTAAGAAAGCTGTTAATTTTGTTTTGTCAGGTTGATGGAGTATTGATGAATAACATTGATTGTCCTACTTTCAGGATTTGTTAGTCTGTTTTACTGTTTCCTCTGCATGCACAGCTTAGAAACAGGCTGACAAGAATGGAATCTATTTGCAGATTTCTGGGCTCTTATTCTTTTTCTTCCTCTTGAGGGCTTTGGTAGACCTAAACAATGAATGCTTTCTTCAGCCCCAAGACGGCTACTTTATGCTTGAGCTCCATTGTAGTGTGGAACAGTTTGGAAAATGTTTTCAGGAAAAAGCTGTGAATATAGGACCTACTCGCATTTTCCTTCCTCCCAATGATTATAGCCCTTCAATTTCTATCTGCTTTTATATATATTTAGTTAGGTCTTAAATCATTTTGAAAGTGGAATTGTCTGATATTAACTACACCATCATGATCAGAATAGATTCTCACCATTTTATTTTAAAGAGAACAAAATAAAACAATAATCAAACAGTATAAACACTAAGTTGATCAAACAGTATAAACACTAAGTTGTTTCTTTACTTCAGTAGCTGTCATTTCAGAAATTTCAAGTGTGTGATTTCTTTTTTTTTGTTTGTTTGTTTTGTTTTGTTTTGTATTTTTACCGGTACCAGGGATCGAACTCATGACCACACGCTTGCAAGGCAGGCACTTTTACCACTGAGCTAAATCCCCAGCCCCAAGTGTGTGATTTCTAATTTATTTTGTGTCTATGTGTCTTAGACTTGTTCTGGGTGGGTTGGGGGCCTGAGATTGCACCTTGCTCCTCCATCTTGACATTTTGCTGTTCTTCCAAATCAGTAGGTTGCACAGTCCCAGGTGCTTCCTGCACTGACTGCTTGTCACATGGTGTAGGGGCCTAGGCCAGGCACCTGGACTCCTCTGATCTGAGGTTACTGGAGTGACAGAGAGGACAGGGTGGTGGTCACTGATGCTCCCCCAATGGTATTGGGGCCCTGGGATGTGACCTCTTTTCCTTTAGGGTCACTGGGGGCATGGTTTCCTCTTGGGCCTATTTCAGTGGGCTCAATGGAGGGCATATCCCCCTCCCCTCTGGACCTGCAGCAGCAGGCTCACCAGGAACAAGAATTCCCCTCCTTTGGTGGCAGAGTTTTAGGGCAAGAGGCTTTTTGTCTGCTGCTTACCACACTGCCATCTTCCCACAAGTATCTCATTATTTCTTACATGAACTTTTGCTTAAACTTCCAAATCATAGGTGGTTTTTCCATTCTTACCTCTGCCTGCTATTGCCAGTATTCTGATTGGGAGCTGCAAAGGAGACTAATTATGTTGGACTGCTTTACAGGTTTTTTGCCATGTTTCTCTTATCATTCTTACTCTTTGTGGCTATAGTGCAATTCTAATCAGTGCTGAAGTTTCTGGTTGTCTAATTTGCTTACTCTTTTCCTCTTAAGATGTAGGCTGTTAGTAATGGTATTAGGATCTCATTATGTTTAAATTTTACTGTTTTTAGGAATAGAAATTGAAGCTCAGACAACTTGAAGATTATCTTTTTGGTATGTAGCTGGGTTTTTTTTTCTTGATTTTGAATTCATCACTTTTGGAAATCTCCAGTATGATAAGCCTGTGATTTTTGAATATCCAGAATATCAGATATGTATTGCAGGGATTAAATTAATGTAATTGTTAAAGACCTTAAGAATACTGTAGAACAAGCACCTGCCTGGCAAGCATGAGGTCGTGAGTTTGATTCCTGGTGGCCCCTCCCCAAAAAAGAATATTGTAGAGTCAAGTTGATATCCTGATTTCATTTGATGTTGGAAATTTTTACCTACTTTTAAAATTTAGTTCATTATAATAATCAACTCAGATCAGGTTTCTCATATTATTTCATTTACATACCATAATGATTTTAAATTTAGTTATTACCTCTTGTTTCAGTTGACTTGAAATTTTTTCTAGAATTATAATTCATTTGAAAAATCTCACAGCTATGAAATAAGGAGCTCAGTTAAACATGTTATAAACACTGAAAGTAACCTTTTTTTTTTCATGTTTTCTCTTTTACTTCCTCTCATCTATATTGATACAAAAAGAGGGGCTTGTCAGTTGCTGAAACTATACTGCAAGACTCTCATTGTTTGAAGTGTCTAGCTTCACAGTATTTGATAGCAGTTGGAGCCATCTTTCTTTAATACCAGGCTCAGTAGTTTCCCTTCTGTTTTACTTAGTCAGAACCGTAATACTTACCAGTGTGGTTGGCAGTACAGTGCAATACTGGAGACCTTTAGATCTTTCATCTTGTTACTGTAATCCCTAGAAAGGAATTGGCAGCTATATTTTCAGGTAGGGCCAAATTGACTAATTTTGTTTTTCTTCCATTGGCAGAAACTCACAGGATAATGAGGATTATGAAGTAATCTCATCATGTGGTTATTATTTAATGTAATTTACTTTATTAAATTTAGTTTCCTAGGATGAGTTTATCATTACTTTTTTTTCTAAGTAGCATGGAAATGTAATATATTGAGCTTTCAAGTACTAGAGAAATCATTAAATTTTGGCCAGTTCCCAGATAACCATTATTCTGCCAGTTGATGCAACTTGGGCTTAATATATTTGGAATGACTTTTCCTTTTTAACTCAGTGATGATGCTTTAGTGCTATAATAAATTTTTTCTTGTTTCCCTGAAAGTTGCTAAAAGCATTCTAGTTTCCTGTAGAAATTTTGAAATGGAGTATTGTTAGAGTGTTTTCTAAAATAGAAGAAAGCACTTTCCCATAAAATTTCATGAAGCGTAATTATCTCATTGATTTCATCAGAAGCCTTTAGTTTTGTAAGTCCAGAATATAAATTTTGTTATTTAAGGAGACTGACTCTTTTTTCCTTAGAAGCAAAATAAAATTAAACAAATTTAGTATTGATGGATGAAATGAGAATATCAGTTTATAAATTTATGATGAGAAATATGGTAAGCTGTCACAGAAATATTAAAACAGTTTCCTGGCCACTTATTTTCTCCTAGAAAGGAATCATACTTTGGAAACTTGCTTACTATGCATGGAAATAGAAAGATTAAATTGGGTAAAGTGAATGTTGATTAGTTTCAGATTAACATACTACATTCATGTATGTCTGCATTAAGGGTGATCATGCCGGTAGGCTGTGGTAATTATTGCTTTTGATTTTTCCCATTTCTCTCATTTTTAAAGAGATGTCACTACCAAATGTATTATACTCTGGTGACTCATGAAATTACACTCTCTTAGAGTCGTGATTGCCAAAGCTACTAATGATCTTAATCAATTAACTTGGCATGGAATTTGAATTCAACATCATAATTATTATGGAAGACATACTTTAACTCCTTTAACTGTCACTTTTTTTCTTATGTCTAGCATACTTATAAAAATGCCTTAGAAAAAGAAGCATGGAGAAGTATGTTAGACTACAAAAGATTGGACAAGGTTCTTTTGGAAAAGCCATCCTTGTTAAATCTACAGAGGATGGCAGGCAATATGTTATCAAGGAAATTAATATCTCAAGAGTAAGTATATTTTTAGTTTGGTTACCCAATAATATCAAATTTACCCAAAAATAAGACCTGAAAATGAGCCCTGAGCTCAAGGAATATCTCTTAAAATCATTCTAGAATTTTTGTCTGATTAGGTTTTATCTTCAAGGAAACAGTAATCTAGCTACATTGCGGCTTATTGTTAAAGGACCTGAAAAATATAACAGTATGTAACAGAAATGAAAAATTGCTTTAATCCCAAAGGGCACTGCTAATTTCAGAGTAGTCTGTATAGCTGCTTTTCAGAAATCTGGTGATATATGCTTATGGTTTTGTGGTTAGAAAATCTACTATTTTCTAACTTAATTTAGTTTGGCTATCTTAAAATATTTTTACTTACAGATGTACTCATTCTTTTTAACTTCTTGCTGTATTTTGTTGATTAGTCTGTACTAGTACCTTTTGTTTTTAAATCACTTTTTTCCTGAAGGACTTTTAGCTCTTATATCTGTGTCTTAATTTTACTCATTCTTTGTTCCTCCCATTTAAGATGTCCAGTAAAGAAAGGGAAGAATCAAGGAGAGAAGTTGCAGTGTTGGCAAACATGAAGCATCCGAATATTGTCCAGTATAAGGAGTCATTTGAAGGTTTGATAAATGTTGCAAGAGTTCAAAATAAGTCCTATGTCATTGATAACTTATGAGTATTCTCCCCAAAAGGATTATTTTATGAATATACCTCAAAAAATACAATTTTTGCTTCAATACTTATGCTTACAAAGGTCAGCTTTATTATATGGGCTGACACTGTTCTGACACTACACTGTCCCCATGTAACTTCATACTGGCTTGTTGCCTTAGTGAGTGTTAAAGAAGCAAGATGGGGCTGAGAATTTAGCTCAGCAGCATAAGCGCCTGTCTGGCAAGCACACAGTTTGAGTTCGATCCCTGGTACCAAAAAAAAAAAGCAGCAGCAGCAAAATAGTAAATGTAAAAATTTAGACAAAGCTAGAACAACAGTAATTAACCTATTTTTAAATTTTATTAGTACATGCTTACAGTACAGTCATCTTGGGGAATGGGTACACATACATTCTATAGCTTCTTTTTTAAATTTCCTTTCTCTTCCCCTTACCCTTCTCCTCCTCTATTTCCCCATCCTTATTTTCATTATTATTGACATTATTAATCTTACCTCATGTTACACCATATAATGTTCACATGCATTGAGGTTATTAGTTTTCTAGTAATTAACCTATTTTTAAGCTCAACTCCTTTTAAGTATTGCCACTACTACCACTGAGAAAGTATTTTTCACATTAGTATGTTTCGTTATACCTTATTATTACAGTATTGAGATATAGTAAAAGTTTTCTCAATTTTTTGAGCTGTAACTGTTATTTTGGAACTACTGTGTCATGTGATTGAAATACACTGTGAATGTTTACATTTTAAAAAGGTATTAGAGTAAAAGTCACATTGTCATTAACTCCCTTCAGTCTACTCCTGTCGCTTTGAACATGCTTACCCCACCGTTGTTGCCACTTTGTGAGTCAGTTCTGGAAGTTCCCTTTTGTGTGTTTATGAGGTGGGAGCACAAATAGGTGAATACCAATGCGAAGTGCCAGCCAGTGAAAAGCTAGGCTTGTAAAATATTATGGTGTGTCCTTACCCACCTTATTCATCAAATCTGGCCCTATGTAACTTCTGGTTGTTTTCTGAAGTCAAAATCACCAAGAAAAATAAATGTTCTGAATTGATTCAGAACATTGAGTAGCCATAACACAGTAACTAAAGGTGCTCATAAAAGTATTTCCAGAACTGCAGTACTTTAACAAGTGGCCAGCATAATAATAGGGTGTGTTTAAAGGGAGGAGGAGACTCCTGAAGGGGTTTAGTGGGAAAGAATCTTTTTACTGTAATACATTTTTAAAAACTTAAACATTCATTGTACTTTTCAATCAACTTTGCATTTACCATTGTATTTGATAATGTAGGCACTAAGATAAGGCAAACTGCTATAAAGGCAATTCGAGGTGGCTTATTGAAGTTCTACCAAGATATCACTTGTATTATTACCATAAATCCTTATAAATTACAAAACAGAAAGATAATCTGAATTGAAAGCAAAACATAGTTAAAATGTTTAGGTTAGGTTCATATTTATGTCAGTTTCACAATTTGAATTAGAGTCAAGTAAATTTGTTCCAGATGAGCTAAGTAGCTGCAAAAGTAAAACATACTTTTAAATGTATATGATTCAATTAATGTATACTCAGTTTATGATTCAATTAATATGTACTCAGTTTATTATTTTTATAATGGCAATAAAATGAAGTTTTATCTTCATTTTAACCAGCTCTTCTCAAAATCTTGAATGCTTTTTATTCTCTCACGTCTTTTTTCTTTCTTTTTTTTTAGTCTTTTTTCTTTCATTGCCATTATTTTAATATTTCAAGTTAAAGTATTTTAAATGTGTATTGACCAGTACTCCAACAGATATTTTTTATTTAGAAAATTTCTCTTAGAAAAGTATGGATGACTGAAAAAGGGAGTGCGTATTTCTTAGTTTTACTATTACTATAATTTAATTTTAAAGAAATACATGCTCATGATAAACATATTCAAAAGTATAGACATAAATGACTTAAGTTCTCTGTTCCTCTGACTCCACCTTCATTCCTACTTCTTAGGGGTAAGCATTATGAATAATTCAGTGTTTATTCTTTACTGTATTTTCTGTGCCTTCATGAAACATATTGTGTTAGGAAAAACAAAGTACCTTATTTTTTGCTCTGGTGCTGTACCATAATTAAGACAGAAGACTGTGACTTCTAAAGGTATAGAAGTTTCGCCAGCAACCAGCCAACGATCCTGCAGTGGACACTTAACTGATATTTTTAAATCCAATTCAGATCAGGCACTCTACATGGAGATAGCATTAATATATAGATTAAAGGCCCAGCCCCCAAGACTGTGCCCATTTCAGAGCTACCAAAAAAATGAGTACATTAAATCATAAAGTGCTGTAAGGAAGGAAGACTCAGTTTTCTATGCTTTAGGATCCTGAAGCACAGTAAGTTTTTAAAAAGAGGCATAAAAGAAATTTAATGTTGAAGTCATGATTATAGACATTAGATTCATTGTAAGTAACTGTTCTAATGTCCCTTCAAAGGCTGTGTGACAGCCTCACTTCTAGGTCGCTGTTATTTATTTATTTTTTCTGTGATGGGAGTTTGAACTCAGGGCCTCATACATACTAGACAAAGTGTATGCTCTACCACTGAGCTACACCATCAGTTTCTAGACTGATTCATTTAAAATCCCAATAATATGCGTGTGGAAAATAGTAGTATATGGGAACAAATTGCAGAGCCAACAGAAACAAATTGAAAAGTCCTCCCAATTATAAATTCAAATTTGAACCATAATTAAGACAAATATACCTGTAATCCTAGCTATGCTGAAGCTTGAGGCAAGAGGATCACAAGTTTGAAGCCAACTTCTTCAACTTAGCCAGACACTGCCTCAAAAACAAAATAAAAAGGGTCTGAGATGTAGTTCAGTGATAGAGCATTTGACTAACATGTGCGGGATGTGTAAGATCTTGGATTCATCCCTAATACTGAGAAGAAAAGGCTGTTTTTCAGTTTAACTTAACTGAAGATCATATGTATTGGAAAACGTGATAGATGTCTGAGTAAAAAAATGGAGTTTCGAAGATACAATTGGATGATTTTGATAAAATTATTTCGTGTAATTTGGAAGTGATGAGAAAATATTTTCATATACATAGAGTATAAATATAATTAGATTATATTGTTAAACATTATAATTAGAAATTTGACTATTTTGTCCATATTCCCTAACATTCATAAATGCATATGAATAAAACATTTTGACTTTATAATTAGGAAAATGTATGATTGTCTTATATAATTAAGTATTTAGGTATATATTCTATTATTCATATATCATTTTCTGGCTTGTTTATCTGTGCCTATCATTTTTAATTGCTTTCATTTTTTGTTTTTATTTTCTCCCTTTTGTTTGAATTTTTTCTTAGTCTTTTATATTGTTAGTACAAGTGTTTCAATCTCACCTACTGAGATAGAGGTTGGTATTCTCTTTGTTTGTGTTGCTTCTGCCAAAATCTAACTACCTACTTGAATAAAGCTTCTCATAAGGGTTAAATTTGGGTGGCTTTTGGGTACAGGTAACAAAAAACTGACCAATATTGGTTTAAGTGAGAAAAATATTTAGTTACCTCGCCTAACAAGGTTTTTGATGAGCGGGTCTGTAACAGCATATATGGTACTATGATCCAGGCTTTTATGTTATTCTTCTTTGCCATCCTTAGGATGTTTTTTAGCCCAATGCTTTTCATCTTGTTCCAGGATGACTTTTGCAACTGCAAGCACATGTCTGCTTCCAAAGCCAAAAGAAGGGGAACTGGTGGCAATAGCCTGTTGTTGTTTTTTTCCTCCTCTTCCTCTTTTTTTTTTTTTTTTTTTTTTGTACTAAGGATTTGATCCAGAGCCTTACTAGGCAAAGTGCTTACCCCCCAGCTCTATTCATTTATGCATTTATTTTTAAGACAGGGTATTACTAAGTTCCCCAGGCTGACCTTAAACCTATGATCCATCTGTTTTAGCCTCCCTCCCAAGTACCTGGGATTATAGGAATGAACTACCTCACCTAGCATGAGGCTGTTCCTTTAATAAATGTTTTTTCAGAAGTCACCTTTCAGAATTACTATGATCTTATTGGCCTAACTTGAACCAGATAACTACCTCTAACTGTGGTAAAAAATGAGAATCAGACCATCTAGGTTTTTTCACCTTTTAAATTGAGTAGTGATGGAAGAGTGTTAGAAATAGCCAAGAATACATGCCTGGAATACATGAAGGCCTGGGTTCGCTTTCTGCCCCCACCCCAAACTGTGAGAACACACACACACAAACAACAAAACAAAATAAAAAAACAATTTAATGAGACATAGTGATCCATGTTTTCATTCCAGAGGCTAAAGCAGGAGAATTACTGTAAGTTCAAGGAGAATTACTGTAAGTATCCTGAACTATATAGTGAGACATAGTCTCAAAATCTAAAGCAAAACCGGAAAAAAAAAAACCCAACCCTCCCCATTAGCCAACTTATAGTGCATACCTTTCTGAGAAATTATAACATATCCTGATTATTATTTTTCTATTACTCTTAATTATTCTCTTAATGTGCATTGAGGCTTCATGGTCTTTAGCTCCAACTTCAAATGGTTTCTGGATGGTAGTTTTTGTTATTAAAAGAGCCTTTATATGTGTGCTGACCTATTGGTAATAAAGGCAGTGTCTTGAATTTCTGTATCTCTAGCACCTTGTAGAAAGTGTCTGGCAAATAGTGCTAAGCTTTTGGAACCAATACAAAACAGATTAGTACTTCTGTTACAGCAAAAAGATTTTTCTGTTAGCCTTACACTTTAAGTAAGTATTTATCTCAAAAATAATAGTAAATATGTAAGCAGCAGAATATGTTACTGAATTCATGTAATAAAGCTCAAATATTTTGCTCCTAGGGTTGCTTCTCCATCCCTTTGTTTACCTTGTTCCCTCTGTCCCCTCTTTTATCTTTCTCTCTCTGTCTCTGTCAGTCTCTGGCTCTGTGTCTCTCTCACATGTATACCTTTTATCCTTTGATCATTTTATTTATTTTTTAATAATCCTACTTATGGTACAAAATTCAAATGTTTACAAAATAGTGAAAGTATATCATTTGTTTCTATCTTTGAGACACCTTTGTCCTTTTTTGGAAATTAAATTTTGTTTTGTGTTTCTTGAACAGTTAGTCTAAGCATTAATAATCATACATAAATGGTAACATAGTATAAATTTTTGCTTTCTGTTTCTTATGCTGTTACAACATTGATGTATAATAATTATGTAATTTTCAGATTTTTTTCAGTTGTGTTTTCTACATACATATTTGGATGACTTTTCTGTATCAGTTACCAAGAATCCTGTAGATATTTGAATTGACTTAATCACCTAAGTTCCCAACCTTAATACGACATTGAAAACAGTGTATTCAAAGAGGTTATGAGAACCACAAACAAGAACACTATCACACAGAAAGAAATAGGTGGTGCTAGAAATAAGGCCATAGCAGAGATAATAAGTCCGTAAGAAATTGAAAAACTTTTCAGTTGTGGTATTTTTAATAGTAAAGTAATGGCTCAGTAAATATTAAAAGTGATATTGGCCACTCTACATAACATGAAAAGAAGTAGGAGGCAGAAAAAATGATAGTGTTCCCCATTCTTCCTAACCAGAGGAGACCATGGGAGTCCCTTCTCTGGATTGAGATAAAAGATGAATAAGGGTGTGTATAATCTTAATGTTCATTTCACATATTACATTCAATTTTTAGCGAAGTAAATGAAATAAATCTCCAAGAAGGTAATATTTATGTCCTACCAGATATTAAATGCTCAGAGTACATCACAGCTTTTATTAATCATATTTGATTAACTAGTAGCAGATTCAAGTGGATAAAACAAAACTGAAAACAGTCAGGTGAAAACTTAAGATAACTTATCTCTGACAAAGAAATGTGTCTATTGAATGAAATAAAGTTGATTTGTCTGCATTTTTTCTGTCTTCTAGAAATGTTGTGTGAGCGTCATTCTCTAGTAGAATGGTGTTTCTTGGTAGAAAAAGAATTAATGATAGTGTTGCCGGAAACCAAAATCATTGTACACTCTTGTAAACTCTATACCTTGACTTTGCACCCTAGTGGTTTTGAGTGTAGCTCTGTGTTTATTGTTAACACTGATTTTTAGTAAACTTAAGTATCTTTAAGTTAGCTGTGAGTTTGATAATGCCTTTTAAAAACTGAAATATAATGTTTATATTTTTAGAAAATGGCTCTCTCTACATAGTGATGGATTACTGTGAAGGAGGAGATCTGTTTAAACGAATAAATGCTCAAAAAGGCATTTTGTTTCAAGAGGATCAGGTAAGTTGGCATGTATTTGATTCCTACCCTTTACTGAGAAATAATTCAAAATGTGATTATGTAAGCATGTATTTATTTTTAACTATAAATTCTGATAATAATTACTGAAGTAGTCTGGGATCATGTTCAATATCTTTTTTTTTTTTTTTTTGGTACCGGGGATTGAATTTATGACCTCATATTTGCCTGGCAGGTGCTTATGCATGTTCAATATCTTGATTGGCTCCCACCAATGTTTAATTCATCTCATTTTCCGTCTGTAATAATATATTGTTGTGTATGTAATATGTTATTTCCTATATGTATATAACTTAGTAACTTATTTGTTCATTATAGCTGGTTAATTATTTTATGTACTATCAGATTTACACTGCCAGAGCATAACTTCCTAAAATGTAGTTTTGCTAAATAGTCTAACTTTGGAAACTTTGTATTGGTACCTGGATTAAAACTATGATCTATTTTGATTTTAAGGATGTTCTTTAAAGTACCTTATGTTAGCCTTGTTTTTTCTATTATTCTCTAACTTTATATCAGTCTTCTCTGTCTTTTGTCTCTGTCTCTCTGTCTGTCTCATTGTATAGTGCCCACGTTGACCCCACATAGTGGATGTAGCATAAGTTTACGGAATCCTCTTGATGTTTGCGTGGTTTTCAGTCTTTTACTGTGCTGTCAAAAAATAAAGTCAACACAGCCAAGAACGAAGAAAATCACATTTGTTTGGAGCTAATTGAGATTCCAATTTGTGAAAACTCATGTTTGATTTAATATGTGTTCTGTACATTCTGGGGTTTTTTTCCCCCCAGTACCGGGGATTGAACTCACAACCCCACACTTGCAAGGCAGGTGTTTATGCCGCTGAGCTAAATTCCCAGCCCCTATTTTTTTTTTTTTTTTTTGTCTTTTTCATTTTTATCGGTACCAGGGATCGAACTCACGACCGCCTGCTTGCAAGGCAGGTGCTTATGCCACTGAGCTAAATCCCCAGCCCCTCAGCCCCTATTTTATACATTCTATATGTCAGTTGGTTTGGATGTTAGTGTCTATAAAATAAAAAGAAATTATTTTTAACTGTTTAGTTTTCCTCAACTTCAAATGTTCCTGAATCCTTGTATTCATCCAAGAAAGACTTGTGAAATGTAAAGTTTGAAAGACATGATAGATCTGATTTTTTTCCCTAGATTTTGGACTGGTTTGTACAGATATGTTTGGCCTTGAAACATGTACATGATAGAAAAATTCTTCATCGAGACATAAAGTCACAGGTATGTTTATTCTGTCACTGATAACTTATAAGTGGATTGGGACATAGGGCTTACATTGATTGGGCCACAAATTTTTTAGCTCAAACCAGAATGCATGAGATTATCTGTCTTCTCTCATCATTGTTCTGCCTTCTAACCTCAGAAATATGTTTCATCTGTGTTCTGTTTGATCTCCTGCATGTTTTTGTTTTGTGTTACCTTCTTTTTTTTTTATTTTTATTTATTTTTTCTCAGTACCAGGGATCGAACTCACAATGTGCGCTTGCAAGGCAGGCACTTATGCCTCTGAGCTAAATCTCCAGCCCCTGTGTTACCCTCTTTCTTGATTCACTTGCTCCGTGAGATGATCTAAATTTAAAAACTGTGAATGTGGAAGGTAGAGTTTTTTGAGATTTTTACATGTCCGAAGATGACTTTATTCTACTTTATCTCATTAATGTTAATTTTGATATAAACTAAAAGGTAGGAAATTGTCTTCCTACAAAATTTTGAAGATATTGGTCATTTGTCTTCTGGCTTTTAGGGTTACTATTCAGGAATTTAAGGCTATTATGATTCCTGGTCCTTGTTTCTTTTCTCTGGAAAATTTTAGGATATTGTATTTGTTCTAAAATTTCACAATGATGTGCATTGGGGAGGCTGAGCTTTTGTTCACTGTGCTGTGCATTTTTTGGTATGGAATGTGTATTTCCTCTGGAAATATTCTAAAAGTATTTAGCTATATTTTTAAAAATAATTGTTTTCTTACTACTTTATGGTGCTCTGGCTTTTCTTTTAGACATAATGAAGCTTCTTCATCTATCCCTTCAATATTTTCTTTGTTCTTTCAGATTTATCTCTTTATCTTTCTCTGTCTAACTTTAGGTGAATTCCTCAATTCCAGGTGAATTATTGACTCCAAAATAACTAATTTACCCCTTTTATTCCCATCTGAATTAACTCCCTCTTTTGGGGCATTTAACCTAAGGAATTGAGCATGCTCTACCACTGGGCTATATCCCTAATATCTAGCTCCCTTTTTAAGAGAAGAAAGGTGACTATGGTGACAGCTTCATACTCCATCTTTGCTATCCATCAGTCCTCTGAAACCTAATTTTATTTTACCGTATCTTATTCTATTCAAATCAGTCACCGTGTCATCTTGACATTGAGCACATTTCTGATTTAAGTCTCATGACTAATATGGAGTTTAGTTTGTATTACACCACAAACTCTAGCTTTCTGCTGTTTGATAGAGTCTTGGAATTCTATATTTATGAATGCAAAATAGGTAAATTGTTGGAAATTCTTAAGGTTAATTTGTTATACTTAAGCTAGATAGAATTTTTAGGCAGTTTATTTTTCTTGCAGGGGTTATGTTTTCTTTTATTGAGATTTTTTTATACTATAAAATTTACCTGTTTAAATAAATGCATAAATAAAATTTACCTCTTCAAAATGTAGAGTTTAATGATTTGCATACCAATTACCAGTTAAAACTCAGTCCTCTTCACTTGACCACAACTAATCTATTTTCTGTCTCTCTGAATTTGTGTTTGGACATTTTATTTAAATGGAACTCATACAGTGTGTGCCTTTAACCTAATTTTAATTGTTTATCTTATTATTGTTGAGTTGTGAGAGTTCTCTTTTTTTGCATACAAGTCCCTTTTCAAGACATTTGTTATGTAAATATTTTCTTCCAGTCTGTGGGTTGTCTATTTACTATCTTGATGACATCATTTGATGCATAAAACTTTTTGTTTTGATGAAATCAATTTATTTTTTTAAATTTTGTTTGTACTTTTGATGTCATATCTAAGAAACCATTCCCTACTCCGAGAGCATGAAAATTTCCAGTTTTCTTCTGAGAGTTTTATAGTTTTAGCTCTTACATTTAATAGTCCATTTTATGAGTGGTGTGAGATAGGATACTGTATTTTTTCTTTTGCATATGGACATACAGATATTCCAGCATTATTTTTGAACCATATTAAGTTTTGTAAAAAATATTATTGACTCAGAAAATGAATGGACTGTAACAATATTTCTGGGGTTTTTTTTTTCATTCTGACTTTTGCAGAACATATTTCTCACCAAAGATGGGACAGTGCAACTTGGAGATTTTGGAATTGCTAGAGTTCTAAATAGGTAACATATCAATTTTATACTGCCTTTTGATAAATTTTCAGTGAAACTCCAATATATGATGATATGCATGTGATAATTTATTATATTTTTAATATATCTCAATTTTCTCCATTAACTTTTTGTTCTTGTTCTAGTACTGTAGAGCTGGCTCGAACTTGCATAGGGACCCCATACTACTTATCACCTGAAATCTGTGAAAACAAACCTTATAATAATAAAAGGTATTTAAAATAATATTCATTATATGATTTATCTCCTTTAAATGATTATTATTTGCTCTTTATTAACCTTAAAAATAATATTTTGAAATTAGAAATATACACATTTTTTTTAATCTAATGAGAGGAATTGTAAAAAGCCATCTCACTGTCTTGCTGAAGGACCTATAAGTAAGAGTTACTCTAGCTTATAATTGGAAATGGAGTGCTTTCTTTGGTTTTTCTTTTTGTATCAGATACTTCTATTGAATTGTAACTAATATTTATTAAACACATACTAAATGCCAGACAGTTTAAGCTTTCTGTACAAAGAAGCTAACTGCAGAGAGAGATAGACTAACTTCTTTGAAATTGTATAGCCTGGAAAATGGTGGAGCCAGTATCCAGACTAGCCATCTGATTCCCAAACCCATATTCCTAATGACTAAGCCATACTGTTGCTAACAGATTGTGTAGGTAGTGTGTGGCTGGGAATAGCAATCCTTCCATTGAATTCCAGTCACTTGTTATTTCCTGTCCTTCTTTCTAATTGAAAAATTCAACCAAGAACATTGGTTAGTTTGCTCTTGTAGGTTTCTTTCACATTTAATAATTTTTTTCATGTCAATTGAAATAGTACTTTCCTTCTGTTATATTTGTGAAAATCATGATATTTTGCAAATAATTGAATAAAGTACTTTGATGTTTACAACGTAAGAATAACTGGAAAGTACATGAAATCTTTGTAATGTTTTTTAAATATTTTCTATAATGAAATTTCAAATAATTACTTAGGCAACCATTATTTTTCTAGCCTAGGACAACTAGATGCTTTTCATGTTCAGTGAGGGTTGAAATTATTTAAAGGAGGGCTGAGCATTTAGCTCAGTGTCATAAGCCCCTGCTTTATAAGTATGCAGTCATGAATTCAATCCCTGGTACCAAAAAAAAAAAGAAAAAAAAAAAAGAAATTATTTAAAGGAACTGCTTTGTGAAGCACATATTTTTCCAAAGCATTTCTATGCTGTTTATGTTTCCTTTAAATGAACACATTTTAAAGTATATTCTGATGATACGAAACTTCTCATTTTTATGTTTTCTAGTGACATTTGGGCTCTTGGATGTGTCCTTTATGAAATGTGTACACTTAAACATGCAGTAAGTAAAAGTTTCTAAAATTTTTTAAAAATTGTGTCATCTTTCATATGACCATCTTACACTAGAAATTTTTAAGTCAGTTTTTAAATTTCTCTTATTTTCTGAAGTATAAATCTAAGTTGATTTACCCTCAATATATATTCACATTATATAGTGTTGTTATACATTTCATACTTCTTTCTGAAAAATTATTTCTAATGAAAGTAAATTTTGTCATCTTCCTGGTGATGAATTCATGTACTATGAATTTAATGTTATGTACATTTTTATTGGTTTCATGTTGGCATGTTTCTTTAAGGCATTCAAATTATTTTAGCTTCGAATTGAAGTTACCTAAAGAATTTCATTCAGCATACACATCAATAGATTTTATTAATTTAAATACTCCTTCATTCATAGTATTTACAATATGTACTTTTGAGACTTTTGAAGTAGCATAAAACACACCAATGATGAAGAGTTCTTGTCTAGAATAGATTAATCACTTTTTATTTCAAAATCTTTTTAAAATTTACCCTACTGATTAAAAATCAAATGATTTTTAAACAAATGATTTTGTTTTCCCTACTGATTAAAAAATACTATATTTTCATTACACAAAATTTCAGAAAACATATAAAAAATAAAGAAGTATATAACTGTAAACTATTTTTTCAATCAGTAGTGAGTATTGATAATATTTTGTTGTTTGCCTCTAGGCTTTATCCTAGATTAATTTTTTTTTTAATCTTAAAGAGAAAAAGAAACAAAATTTCAAAACATGTTAATTAGGGGGTGACAATGATATATACATTGCATATTGTTTTCAAATCAGTTACTCAGAGTAAATAAGACATGTTTTGTCTGAACAATAGTAGCACAAATCTTTGTTCATTGAGCTCAGAGAATATATAGTTTCAGCATCTCACACTGATGAGACAATGCAATGTTTATACATGTGTGTCTGATGTATTTATCCTCAATTAATTTATAAATGAATTTTTTGGATTTTTTTCATTAAAGGTTAGATTATATTTTGAAGCAACTTTTATAACCTCTTTTTGTTATGTGGTATTTCTTTTTTTTTTGGTACCAGGGATCAAACTCACAACCGTGCGCTTGCAAGGCAGGCGCTTCTGCTGCTGAGCTAAATCCCTGGCCCTGGTATTTCTATTTTTCTTTACCATTCTTTTTATTGGCTGCATAGACTTCTGTATTGTCCCTTAGATTTTCTTTTTCTTTTTCTTTTTTGAAATAGTGGTTGTCACTATTTCAAATAGTATTTGAAAAAAATCGGTCAGTTTTTCTGTGACAGTTTCGGGTTCTTTAAACCATTGTTCTTTAAAACCAAATCTTTCATGTATTTTTCAACTTTTGATTCTGTATTTTAGAATTTTTCCTCTTAAGAGAACACATGAAACTGAGTGTTTTGCCAGCCTTCATTTACTAGTGCTTGTTAAGAGATAACGGAAAGTTACTAGAAAAAAGAATAGAGAACCGTATCTTTTCTGTATTAGTATTCCATTTTAGGAATAGATGCATAACTATGAGATTAAATTTACTTAAATTTTTATAAACTTATGACATTTTAAATATGCTAGAGGACCTTAACATTTAGTAAAATCCTCTTAATTGTTGTAGCACATTTTGTTAGTATGCTGTATATTAATAACATAACAACCTTACACAGTTGTTTTAGCAGAGATGTGAAAAGCTTAATTTTGACTGCTTTCAAAGTAAAAATTTGAACTGCCTCACCTCTGTTTCCTTTTTACTTCAGTTAGAGTTTGTATTGTGTTTAGTCCTAACTAAATAGTCCTATTAAGCTTGTATTCCACCTTGGAATGTTTGCCACATGGCTGATTCTGTAGCCTTGGAGAACATCATGCACAAAACTAATAATGAACACTGCCCCAGAGAAAACTACTTAATAGTTTTATTTATTATATTTTGCCCAAATACTTTGAGTTTTATGGTAATTTCTTATTCTAGTTGTGATAACAGAAACATAGGAATGTGGGTTTTAAATGAAGGCTACTAGTTTGTTATTTTTTGCACCTTTGTGGTTCTATGGGCCTAATTTTTCTACCACTAATGCATTGTCTTTTACTATCTCCATTATTGTAGTTTATCTCATCTCTTTGAATAAGTAAATTATCATTTTTTTTAAGAGCAGAATATATTTATTGAGAGAAGGAAAGCTTCTGTCTGAGAGAGAGACAGAGGAGTTCTGGGTTGGTTGCCCAAGTAAATTATTCTTAAACTAAGTTATAATATTGTATTTTTGAGTAATAATATCCTGTTTAAAAAACATTTACAGATAACCAAGTGAGCTTTGTTCTAGAGTACATGTGCTGATTATATTATTTGAAAATGTGTTGTATTTCTATTACGTGTTAATGGAAAAATAAATTTCTCATTGTTGATAGTCTCAGCTTCAATTTCAATATGTTTTATGTATGTTGATGTATTTTCTGGATTTTAGTTTGAAGCTGGCAATATGAAAAACCTGGTACTGAAGATAATATCTGGATCTTTTCCACCTGTATCTTTTCATTATTCCTATGATCTCCGCAGTTTGCTCTCTCAGTTATTTAAAAGAAATCCTAGGGATAGACCATCCGTCAACTCCATATTAGAGAAAAGTTTTATAGCCAAACGCATTGAAAAGTTTCTCTCCCCTCAGGTATGTTTTTAAAAATTTTGTAATTCAAGTTAAGCAGTAGGTTTATGGCGTTTACTCAGGACATGCCTTGTCAGATCCTTGGGGTGTCGGAGGCCCTCTTCACACTACGTTGGCATCACTTGCTTGTATTACATCTTACATATCTCGATTTCCTTTCATGTGCTTTCCAGTTTTACATCAGTCCTCTGTTTCTTGAGTTCCTAACTGTAAAATTACCTAACCATTTTGTGCTTCACTTGCCTCTCATGTAAGTAGTAGGGCTGTAAATGTGTATGTTGAGGTTGTTTTGAGAATTAAAAGTGAATATGCACGTAAAATGTCTATCATGTAAGTGCTTAAAATCTTTCATTTATATTAAGTATCATCTATTACACTGTATATCATAAGCATAATTTATATGACAATCATATTCTCTTTGATGGAAAATAATTGGAAACCATTGTTTTATAGGCATTTGTATGTATGTGTGGTAGATAATTAACTCATGATTTTTCTCTATTATTTAAATGATATGCATAGTGTTTTTGAGTCAAATTTAATTATAATTTGACAGATTTTAGAAAACAATATCAAATTACTAATATCAGTTATTCATAAAAATGTGATCACCTGAAACTTAAATTATTTTACTTTTCATATTTAGTGTGGCTTTTGTTAATTTAAATACAGTAAATTACATCTCTTCTATAAATAAACTCTCTAGGAAAATCATACTTGTATTATGCTTGTATTATAAATATACTTTTTTTTAACTGAGTGAGAAAGGAAAATAAAATTTCTGCTTTTTTATGAGAAGTGAGGCCAGATAGAAAGAATATTCCTATAGTAATAGTGGACTAGACAACCCACAAGGCAAAAAACCTTGATCAGAGACGATCCTTTCCTACTGAGAATCCTGAGTTCTACTATAACAATGTCTGCATCCTTCTGGCTCAACAGAACATCTTTCTGAACGCTCTTCAGAAAACAAGGATATGGATTTAACTGTTGATTCCAAAGAATGCATTATTAAGCAAGAAACCCAGTTAAAATTTGGAGATTAAAGGTTACTTGTATAGAACATAGGAACAACTTCTGAAATGTGGGTGTCTCACAAGACTTCTTTGTTATAAATAATATTTGCAAAGACAGCTTTATGATGTAGTATACTGCTGCTTTTTGGCAGCTTCTAGAGAAGAAACAATGGCTTCATTTAGTCTTGCCGAAGTTTCTTTTTCTTATGCACTTAGTACATACAGTCACAAGGCTGAAGGAGTGGAATTCATCTAGCTAGTGATGAAAGGGAAAATGTTAAAGATTGCAAGACCTATACTATGGGGAAAAGGCACCAATTACTATTATTAAAAAATGGAGTATTTGACATGTAATGGAGTATTACATCTTTATTTGTATACACTGATCCATCTTATTAATTAAGCACCACTTAGATCTCATTTTTTATGAAAAAATTTTTTCTTTGTATCTTGTTTTATAGTAACGTATCACTTGTTCATTATTGGAGTGAGAAGGTTTGTAATAGTTTTTGTTTGTTTGGTTTTGTTTTTGAGTCAGAGTCTCACTATATTGCTCAGGCTAGTCTCGAATTTCTAAGTTCTCTAAGTTTCTCGTAAGTTCTAAGTAAGTTCTCGTAAGTTCTAAGTTTCTCGAATTTCTAAGTGACCCTCCCTACTTCAGCCTTCTGAGTGCTGGGATTATAGGTGTATGCGGCATCTGGCTATCTGGTACATTCTTAAGGCTTTAATTTCAAAACAGTTCATAAGTTTTACTGTGTGTACTATTGTTATTCTTCCAAGTATTGCTATAATGCTCACTGCAGTTTTTACTTTTAAAACTTAAATTCTCCCAATTCCATTAGCCAAGGTTGATGGCAAGTTCTCAGTCTTGGCAACAACTTCCTGGATATGACTTGACAAATCATGGATAACTTCTGATTAATTAGGAATTATAGAAGCTGTTCAGTAAAACAACTTTGTGATGATAAAATGTTCCATGTACATTGTCCACTATCATAGGCATTGCCACATGTGGTTGTTGAACTTTTGAAATATGGTTGATGTGGCTGAGCAGTTGAATTTTTAATTATATTGATTGAAAATTTTCATTTAAGTGGTGACCTATGGGTAACCTCTTGAACTCACTATGTGCCCCAGGCTAGCCTTGAATTTGGAGCGATTCTCCTGCCTCAAACCTTCTGAGTGCTGGGATTATAGGCATGTGCTACCACATCCAGCTTCTATACCCATCTCTTAATTTGCAAGAATATTTGTAAAAGAGAAAAGATTCATATTCAAACAATGGAAAAATTATTAAATTTGGGGGCAAGTAAGATTATAAAATGGCCATTCTCTTCCAAGAAAAAGAAAAAATATGTGTGTTTAGGAGAGAAAACACATTCGCATATTTTCTCTGAATTGCCTGTAAAGCAGATTTTCATTTATATTTATCCCATCTTATACTGATTCTCAAGATTTAGCACACATCAGAATTTCCTGGAGAGCTTTGCTGGGTTCTGTGACAATCTGTTTCACTACTAGGGTGGAGCCTGGTAATTTGCATATTTAGTAAGTTCAGGTGATACTGATACTGTGGCTTTGAAAATTTGAGAACTACCATAGAGAATTCTTAATGGGAAAGACAAACCTCTGATCAAAGTTTTCTGCCTTGTGAGTTGTCTCGTCCACTGTTAGTATATGCTTTCCATTAGTCCTCACTTCTCTTGAAAAGAGGTAAAATGGCCAGGCGTGGTGTTTCACGCCTGTAATCCCAGCACTTGGGAGGCTGAGGCAGAAGGATCATTGCGAATTGGAGACCAGCCTAGGCTACAAAGTGAGCTCAAGGCAGCCTGAACTGCACCGAGACCCTGTCTCAAAAAGACAAAAAAAAAGAAAGAAAGAAAGAAAAAAAAAAGGTAAAATTCACTTTCCCATGCAGTTAGAATAAAGGAAGCTTAATTTGAGTTAAATCTTTGTTGGAGTCATAGTTTTGCACTGAAAAGGAAACAAAATTACTTGCACAAAATATAAATGATTTTTGCTTTTCAAAATGTTTTAAAATGCTGAGGAATAAGTGGTGGAGTCTTTGTAATTATGTTAAAATGCACCTACTGAATTATGTAAGAATATTTACCCAGTAGTTTACTGTCGAACGTGAGTGTAAACTCACTGGAGATACTGAGGTGATGCACGTAAAGTTATAATAACTTGGAGGTTATCTTGAGAGTTTCTTTGATAAGTGGTTCTTAAATAGTTGTGAAGTAAATTAATGCTATAGATGCACAGAGAAATCCAGATAGGTACTTTGCCATCTGGCTGAGCTATCGAATAGGTAAATAGCATATGGGAGCATTGGTTACTTACTAGATTAATTCTAGAAAAAGTCTATCTGTAGAAGTAATAAATTGGTAAAGCCAAAAAAGAAAAACAAATGTGACTAATGGATAATGTTTTTTATTGTGGAAATTTAATCTTTCTTCTTTCCCTCCCTCTTTTAATATAAGCTTATTGCAGAAGAATTTTGTCTAAAAACATTTTCAAAGTATGGAGTACAGCCTGTGCCAGGTAAATGAAATTTAACATGAGACTTTTCATGTTTTTGCAATAAGGAAGCCTAATTGTACTAAAACTTTGTGTAAATAAGAGATAATAAATTGGGATGATTGTAGGCTAAATTTAATCTTGAGGAAAAAATAGCTCAACTTATTTATGACATAGGGCAATATGTAAGTTATTGATAAATTGATAACAAAATGTCTCCTTTTTGCCTGTCATATTTAAAGAAAATCTGACTTGAAATCTTTATCATGGGGCTGGGGATTTAGCTCAGTGGCATAAGCCCCTGCCTTGCAAGCAGGCAGTCATGAGTTCAATCTCCGGTACCGATAAAAAAGAAAAAGACAAAAAAAAAAAGAAAGAAATCTTTATCATATGCTTGACTGATATTTTGAGAACACTGTAAGTTAGGTATAAATATTTCTGTAAAATATTTTTCTTTGAGAAATACTTCATATTCTAAAATTTTTTAGAATAAATTAATGTGAAATCAAGCAATTTATTAAAAGTAAGGTTTTTTTTTTTTAAACTGTGACTGTTGTCAGCATATTTGTAGGATTATGGATGTGGTTATATGATACATATTATTCACACACCTATATCTATATGAGAGGGAAACTATTTCTTTCCTACACAGAATAAATTCAGAATGGGTTTCTGAAATCATTGTAAGTTTTTTAAGGTATGAGAAGTATAATGTTTTTCAAACATATTGTTTGACATATTCTATTCCATTCTTAGTTTGGATAAATTAATAAAAATAAATACCATACTATAAAAATGAGTCCATATTCACTGTAAGTAGTGTAGCATTGTGTCCCAGAAAGGCCAACTCTATTCAGGCCTTCTTTTTTTTTTCTCCAACCCTTCTTAAAATTTAAAAAAATATATATTTTTGCAGTGCTGGTCACTGAGCTTGAACCCTCATACACGTGCCTTACCAGTAAGCTGTATTTCCAACCCCATTTAACCCTTTATAAAGACCATTAAATTCAATTTTTCATTGTGCAGAGACTTGCAGGAGAGTAACTCATATATATGTATATGTATGTATATATATATATATATATATATATATAGAGAGAGAGAGAGAGAGAGAGAGAGAGAGAGAGAATCCACAAGAGACTAGCTGGTTGTGGTGGTACACATATAGTCTCAGTTAATTGGGAGGCAAAGATGGGAAGATAACAAGTTTAAGGTCTGCCTGGACAATTTAGCCAGCCTATGTCTCAAAATAAAAAATCTGGGGTTGTAGTCAGTACTTCATAGCTTCAATAGTTAGCACTGCAAAGGGGACAGGGCTGGCATACAGCAATAGAGTCAGCATGTTCTCTGCTGCCAGGAAAGCTTTCTAAGAAGTCAGATCTTAAAAAAGATAAATCAAATGTTAATCAGAAGTCTTCCTGACACAAAAGCCAGAAAGACTCGCTGTTAGCACAGTCTTTCCACCTGGATAAAGGAATTAGAAAGAAAGTTATGTAAGAAGAATGAGATAAATAAAACATTTAATAGTCCAGGGCTAAAGCAGAAGTAATATTTCTTTTCTTTTTGTCTTTTTCCTTTTTATCGATACTGGGGATCGAACCCACGACTGTCTGCTTGCAAGGCAGGCGCTTATGCCGCTAAGCTAAATCCCCAGCCCCAGAAGTAGTATTTCTGATGGAGTTAATAAATTTTTTTGGTGGTGTTTTTGCTGGTTGTTTTGTTTTGTTTTGTTTTTCAGACAGGGCCCTACTGTATAGTTCAGGCTGGCTTTCAACTTACAATGTAGTCCAGACTGGTCTCAAACTTACAGCAATCCTCCTGCCCCAAGACTCTTGAGTCCTGGGATTATAGGCATGCAGCACCATATTTGGCTAATAATAAATGTCTTTTAGGCACCAACCAACTGCATTAAACTTCATGCTAGAGGTTAGCCTTGACACAGTGCTTGAGAAATACTCAAAGTTCAGAATATAATTTTTCTTTTTCTGTGAAGTGTACATGGAAACTATACATGTCTATCATTTTTATGATTTTGTACCTACAGCCCATTTTCTGGCAAACAATTTTCACTTGCTTGTTTTTACACAATTAGTCAAATTATAATTTTGTGACTTTGTATGTATGTTCTAATTTGATCATATGGTTGAATTTCTTACACTTCCTAGTATTGGTCAAAATGTGTAGTATGTTTGGAAAACCTTACCCTAACACATTGTATCATATATCATCAGCATAAATTATTTCTGTATCTCTAAAATGCCAGCCAAATGGCTGATATCTAGTATGTGTTCATTGTAAAAAGTTTTTAAAAGAATGACCCTAATTTTAACACATTGTTACATTTGGTACAGTATTCCTTTTCTAGATGACAGTATGCCTGAAGACTTTGAATTGGGATCAACCATATGATCAAATTATAACCAAAGTTATTTATTTATTATTAATTAATTTTTTAGTTTTTGAGACAAGGTCTTGCTCTGTAGTCCAGGTTGGCCTTGAACTCACTAGGTGGTCTAGGCTGGCCTCAAACTCATGGCAATCCTCCTGCCTCAGCCTCTGGAGTGCTGGAATTACAGGTGTGCATCACCACATCTGGCCTAAATTTTATTCACACTATTACATGTTGAGCATTTTGTGATACACTTAAATTTTCTCATCTGAGTTTAATGATAGTATTTCATTATGAACTACAGGATAAATTTCTTTCTCCTTTCCTCTCCTAAAAAGCAAAAATACTGGTTGAAAGAGACATGATTTTTGGGTTAACATGATTTAACCCAAAATATCCTGAGCTAGATTGTGGGCTAAAAGAAGAAAGAAAACTGCTGCTCAGGCTGTGGGGGAGTTTGAGCAAAGAGGTTCATTAGTTAATGTGGAAGATTGTTTTTTTGTTTGGTTTGGTTTTTTGGGTTTTTTTGAGACACAGTCTTGCAGTGTAGTTCAGACTAGCTTTGAACTCACTATGTAGCCCAGGCTGACCTCAAACTCAGACTAGGATCTACAGTCTTAGATCCTCTGCGTCAGCCTCCCACATGGTAAAATTGCGGGTATGTGCCACCACACCTGGCTTGATAGTCTTGATATAGATTGCCTTCCAGAAAGTTTGACTAGTCTATATTCCCATCAGCAGCAAATAAAGTTACCTATTCTGTGGTATTCTTAGTGAATGAATGTTTTAAAATGTTTGTTCTTTAATAGATCTGTAGGTATAGGCATCATTCAGACTATATAAGAATAAAATATTGTGCATAGTTATAGAACTAATGTTTAACAGTTGCTCTGGAATTTTGTTTTGACTTTGAAAGTAATTTCTAAAATGATTTTTAAAAATTTATTTTTGTTAACTTTATTGTATAATAGTACATGTATAATTCATGTACTGTATAAAATCTACAACTTAGAGTCCACATACATGTGCTACATAATTTTAGGGAAATACTTTCTTCACTCTGTTTGTTTTTTGTACTGGGGAACGAACTCACAACTTTGTACTTGCCAGGCAGGCACTTGTGCCGCTGAGCTAAAGCCCCGGCTCTGGGAGGTACTTTCTTATATGAACAATTTCAGCATCTTAAAGGAGTTTAATCTTTGCTTCTTTCAAAATTTGGATTAGTGTAAACAGTTGTGGCATTGATATATGCTAAGGACTGAATAAGCTAATTGATGAAAAGTTTCACGTTGTCACTGACTGTGAAAACAAAAAATTCTGTCTTGGAGAATTTTTAAGTAAAGATTTAATACAAAGAACTACTAGGAGAAAATCTTTGTGTCTTTATGTAGTTAAAAGACCAGCATCTGGACAAAGCTTGGCTTCTGTTGTGCCTGCTCAGAAAATCACAAAGCCTGCTGCTAAATATGGAGTACCTTTAACATGTAAGAAACATGGAGATAAAAAATTACTTGAAAAGAAACCACTCCCAAAACATAAACAGGTATGATCATGTTACAAAATATGATTAGTAACACATTGATTTGACCTTACTTTATTGCAGCTCAGTTATCTTAATATTCATAGAATTATTTTTATTAAGGAATATTAGTGTTCTCATTTCATCTCTTTGCTAAAACTAAGGAGCTTTATAAAAGTCACGTGAAAACATTAAGTAGATTCTGAAGGTAGATAGTAGATACAATAAAAAGAGTTATAAATTAAATCACCTTTGAACAACTTTCATAGAGCTATTTGGTTTTATTTATGAAAGAAGTGAATACTTGTGATACACATGATAAAAATCTAAAAAATTTGGTATTTAAGAATTTAGAATTAAGTAAGTCAAAATCACGGAGCTGGAAAGAATGTGATCATATAGTTGATTCTGTTGTATTTCAATTGAGTACATGTATATATTCATATTACATTCTCAAAAACACTTTTATTACACTGCTGTAAGGTGAACTTAATGAGTCACTTTAGTTAAAATCAGTCATAAAATTTTTCCGAATAATTACTACGAAACAGTCCTCAGATAAGTTATGTAAGTCAGCATTATGTCAGGAAACAAGACCTTCTCCGTAATTTAATAGGGAGGCCTGTTGTACCTGTCATCTTACCTACTTGGAATGCTGAGGCAGTAGGACTGCAAGTTTAAGGACAGGGTGAGCAATTAGCAAGAACCTGACTCAAAATTTAAAAAGTTGAAAGGGCTAGGGTAGAGTATTTGCCTAATATGTAAGACACAATGGTTTCAATCCCCAGTACTACAAAATGATAATAGAAATAGTAATAATAATAATATTAATTATAAAAGGGAAAACTATAAACACTGTAATTAACTATTTTCATGGAATTAACCTTTAAAGGTATAAAGAGAGCACTAGGGAATATATTATAGGAATAGCAGATACAAGATACAGCTGCTACTCCTAGTGCTAATGCAGAATAACCAAAGAAGGAACAATTTTTGAAATTCTCTTAACCTGTGCTTAAGCTGAAATTCAGACCTTATTAGAGAGGGTATAGCATAACCCACTGGCTAGTGGATTTCATTGAGCTGCCACAGTCTGGGTCTTGCACCAGGAGACTCCTGGTTGTACTGATGAAACCCCTGAGAAACTCCCAGGGTATACAGACTGGAAAGCTACTTAGAGAGCCATTGAACTCACTACGAAGTCTGTTGGATTGTGGTACAATTTGCTTGGTGCTACTAAGTTGGAGTTTTTACTGGTTTGCTTTGATTTGGTTTGGTTTTTCTTCTTTATCACTGACTGCTTCTTAGTGGTAAATTTCTCCCTCATCTCTAAATGCTTAAGTAAAGAACCCATTCCTTGGTTATCTTCCCTTTTAGTATTACACATCTTCACCTAATTGACATCTAACAACTATTATGGTTTAGATCTAAAATATTGCTACAAAGTCTTACATTCAGAGTTGAGGGTTTTGAAAGATGATGGGCTCATAGAAGTGGTATATTTATCAGTGGATTAATCCATGAATGAGTTCATAACTGAATGTGCTATTAGCTGTTCATCTAGTGCCACAAATTTTTATTTACCTATTTTTATTCAAGTGAAGAACCTTACTTACTCTGCTTCACATCATCTGGTGGCAGTTCAGGGCCTACTTCCCCATTTTGATATAGAGCTTTTTGTCCTGCAGTTAGCTAGAGAGAGAGAAGCTTTGCCAACTTTGTCTACCAATGGTAGCCCTGGGATGTGAGCACAGTGTGAAGGCCGAGGCCCAGCTTGGTGCTCCAATGCCCAAGTTCACATTGAAACCAGGTGATTTGTTGTGTTTTCTGAGAGGGACAATGGTCAAGTGGACAACCCTTTAGGGCTGGCCATTCCATTCTCGTGACTGTCACCATCTAACAGAACTCATGGAGTGGCTTCCTTTTGAACACCATTTCAGGGCTGGCATTTGATACTGCACAATAGATGTAGAGATCCAGAGTAGTTCATTGGCAACTGCTCATGCATGTGGAAACCACAGCTGTTGCAATAAGAAGACTAAGTGGCTTTCTGAGAACTCTTATGGAACAGTAGGGGGACACCAAAAAACTGCTTTTTATCAGATATAAAGAAGGGTTTTGTTATACATAGACTTCCTCCTTACTATGTAGGAAATGGAGCAGAGCTGTCAACACCAGGTGAAAAGCTACAGAGGTTGGACAGAATAGCAAGATTGCAGTTTAAAGACCACATCATCCTCACAGCGGGGCCAGATCAGAATTGATCTGATGAAGCTCAAAAAAAGAAAGAGACACATATATTGGGAAATGAGGAAAGAGAGTTTCATAGACTTTGCTTTCTATTGTCACGTGTGGATGCCTTGAGGCAAATTTGGAACAGTTCAGATATTTCTGTCAAGGACCTGAAATTTACTGAAGATAGATAAAATCTTTAATACAAGTAGTTTCATGCCTTTCCAGAATTAAATAGTTCCTATTTTATATGCATATATTTTTAAAAAGGTAAGATGTAAGTGCTAGGTAGATACCATTGTTTTGAGTCAACCCACTGAGTGAGAGCAAAGACTACATGATCCACAAAGTCCATTCCTTACCTAAGTATCTGTCATTGTGAGAAACACTGTATTGATGGGCACATGGAAAAAAACACAGTTAAGTTACTAAGTGGCCCAGAATGTGACCAGAGCATAGTTTTGAAAGTTTATATAATCCATTGTGATAGAAAAAGTATAACTCGAATAAATGTATCATGTAGACTCAAATGTCAAAAAATTTCTAGATAGGGTCTTTCTCAGTCACTGAATTGCCCATGGTGGGCTTGAGTAGCAGTCCTCCCACCTGAACCCCAGAGTGCTAATATTATAAGCATGCATTCCCACATCTAGCTGCTATGGAGCGTATTTTTAATATACCTCTGGCAGTTTATAGATAATTTTGTGTTCTAATATTTTTACTTAATATTATATTTGCTTTCTGTAAATTTGTATTTGTCATTATAAGTGGTTATCATATTTCATTGATACAAAATCATTGGTACTTATAAATGTTTAAAAACTAATATTCTGGATCAGGTTTGTTTGATAATGTGTTTTATTCTAAGTAGAATTCATCAAAATATGCATTAAGCATGAATTAATTTATTAGCTAATTTTCAAGATGTTTATTCAAATTACATTTACAAATGTATCCGTTTTAACACTTGAAATATCCATATCGGTATTATCTGCCTTCCTTAGTAATAAAAGTACCATTGGTAGAGGGGATATAATTATCTTTATGTCACCAGATCAATAAATAATAAACTCTTGAGTGGACTTGCAGAAAATGACCATGTATTTCTTATTATTGCCCATGTATTATTCTGAAAGAATGAAGAGATCAGAACTCTTGGCAATCTGAACTAAAGTTATACAGAAAGTCCCTCACTTTTAGGCAAGATTGTGGCCAAATATTTAGTCAATTTTTTCTTCTGGCTAATAGAATCAGATGATATATTGTGTTTCTTAAAGTTACCTTCTTTTTCAATTAATACTTATTTAGTAAGCAAAATAACATGCTGTGGAATTTTTATTTCTATTAGTATTTTGAATAAATAGATATCTATAAAATACTCTTAATGATAAATGATTCAGATAAGATATTTTAGACTTAAGGCTAAATTTTTTTATATATTTTAAAAACAGGATCAAACTATATAGTTCAGGTTGGCCTTGAGCTCACTTTATAGCCTAGGCTAGTCTCAAACTTGCAACAAACCTCCTGCCTCACCTTCTAGAATGCTGGGATTACAGGAGTGCACCACCACTCCTGTTAAAGCTAAATTGTTCTACACAGTTGAGTGAATATACTTAATGCTACAGAGCTATACATGTAAGAATGGCTAAAATGATATATTTTTTTAAAATATGTTTTATCACAATAAAAAACACAAAAATTTTGTGAAAAAATAAATATAATAAAGGTGACCTGACAATCAAATGAATAAAATATTTTCCAAATATCCTAATAATAAAAGGAACTAAAGAAAATGGCCCCCAAACTTCTAGAGTATTTTAAATATAAATTTAAGTTAATTTTTCTTGACACATGGATTTGAATCCAGGGCTTTGTGCATGGTAGGCAAGAGCTCTCCCAATGAGCTACCTCCGAGCCTTTTATCTTTTGAGACAGATTCTCACTAAATAGCTCTGGGTGTCTTTGAATTTATAATCTTCCTGCCTCAGTCTTCTGGGTAACCAGGAGTATAGGTGTATATCACCATGCCCAGCCTATGATTCCTATTTTTCTAAAAGATTTCTTTTGTCCTTCAGCCGCTATAAAACATATTTTAGATTCAAATTCACAAGGGCTTATAAATTATTAAGTACGAAAATGAAAAATGTATACAGAAAAGCATAACCACTTAAGAGTTTGTCATGTTATAATTGCACAAGCTAACATGTGTTATTATTACTCAACATATCATCAAAATACTTCTATGTCATTAGGCTTTGGGTTAGTTCCTGCAACTAGTTGCAAGGTATTTTTTAAAAGTTTTGTTAAAAAAAAAAAAAAGAAGAAGAAGAAGTGGTTATTAAGCCACCAGAGGGAGCTCCATGTACAGGATTTGGGCTCTTAAAAACCATCAAGAAACAGTATTATTAGTATAGGTGTTTTACATTCATATTTCCTCTTCAGTATAGTAGTAGCGTTCTGAAAATACCTATATGATGAGCTCAGAGAAATAATTTGGTATTTTTTTTTCACAAACATTTGAATATTCTATATGTAAGGCAATATATAAAATCAAAAGATGAATATCATTTTGCCTTCATATAATTTACCTGATGAATATGTAGGAGTCCTAGTTAAATATGTTTTCTTTGTTCCACATGTCACATAGTATTACTCATATTGCTACTTTTTAGATGTCGTTCACAAATTTTGAGGCTGGCATTAGATTGGCTATGTAAGAGTTAACCTGTGGAATGTGTCAAAATAAATGTAGGTTCTGTAACCAAAGATTATGATTCAGCCACTCTTGGCGATATGTATTTAAAAAAAAAAACAAACAGGTTTATTGAGATACAGTTCGTATACTATACAATTCACCCACCAACAGTTTACAATTAGATGGTTTACAATATATTCCCAGAGTTGGGTAATCAAAATCTTAGAACATACTTGTCATCCCTCAAATACATCTTAAAATTAGCAGTTCCTTCGAATTTTCCATGCCCTGATAAGCCTAAACAATCACCAGTTTATTTTCTATCTGTATAGATTTGCTTATTCTGGACATTTTATATAGTATGTAGTGCTTTGTAACTGGCTTCTTTTACTCAGCATAGCATTTTTTTAAAGTTTATTAAAGAAAAAAACAGAAAAAGTACAAATAGTACATAATTTCAAAAAAATAAACAGTAAGAAGTCACTAGTTGATAAATTACATATTGTTCTCTTAGAAATAGTTGTTCAAGTTATAAGAGTAAAGCATACAAAGTGGACATTCAGGCAGCAAGACTGCAAACAGTTCTGTTCAGTGATCCAACAAAAACTTAGTAATATGGTTATCAATCCTACACACTTAAACATACATGCAGTTATATCCTTTAGAGCACCTTCTTTTCCTCTCTTTTTTATAATAGCAGCCATGTGAGCTGGTGGAGGATCAGCATTCAGACAGGAACAATTGGTTAAAATATGAAATGGAAAGAAACAGCAATGCGTTTATAAGGGAGAAAACGTGTATTTAACTCATTGTTTATAGAGGTTTAAGTCCATAATTGGCTGGTTCCAGGGCAAGGTGGCACTTGGCTGAGGGTAACAGCTCATGGTGGCCGAAGATAGCAAAAGCAGCAAGAGAAAGTAAGGAGGGAGAGAGGGAAAGAGAGATGGGGAAGAGGGAGAAGAGAGAGAGAGCCTGTGTCTGTCTATCTATGAAGAGAAGAACCCAAAAAGTGTATACACACTACAGGAAAAGGAAAACATAAATATTTTAATACTAAATTTAGTGAGACATCATGAGATAAATACAGCTACATGAAGCACTCAAAGTGGGCATTAGCTTCCAGTGAACAGCTGCTTGGGTCAAAGTGTCCATTGAGATTGCTGCACATGCATTTTCAGTTTTTTCTGAAAGGGTTGGCAGTCTAGTGGGTTTTCTCCAATGTACCACATCCTTCAGGGTCCCCCATGGATAACTGCAGGTGTTAAATCAGGAGGACGTGCACCTTTACAAGTTATTTTTTTCCTTAAGTGTCTACACATTTTTGGTGGAATATGTATATATGTATATGTGTATATGTGTATGTGTGTATGTGTATATGTGTGTGTGTATGTGTGTGTGTGTGTATATATATATATATATATATATATATATATATATGAAGGAAAGATGTAGGTAACAATAACAGATGAATCTTAATAGTGTCAAGTAAAAGAAGATAAGAAAGAATGTGTTGTATAATCTCATTAGTGTAAAACCAAACAATCTAAATACTTTTTAGGCAGGCATATGTAAGTGGTTAAACAATACGAAAAAGCAAGAGTGCTGTTTACAAGCTTGGTGGGAAAGTATGGCTTCGGAAGGGCACTTGAAGGGCTTTTGGGTATTGGCAATATTTTATTTTTTGTCTTTGGGCATAGTTACATGGTTATTTTCTTACGTTAGCTAAACTCTGTGTATCTACTTTGATCTCTATCTACTTTTCTGCAAGGGACTTTAAATCCAGTCGAAAGAAGGGAAAGAGAGCTAGAGAGAGAAAGACGGGGGGGAGGGGAAACAATGGGAAATAAGGAAAAGAATAAGTGGAGTAGAGTAAGAAAATTCCAGAAATGTGTATGTGTGTGTGTGTATTTACTAAATGATAAATGAGGCATTTCAAACCAGTGAGGAAAGAGATGTGTCTGAATGAATTGTTCTGAGATAATTGGATTTCTGGAGGAAAAACATTAAGAGTACTGAATCATTCTACTATCAAAAATCTATAATGTTTAAATATAAAGGAAACAGTGGCAGAAGCAAAGGTAAAACCAAGATTTAAAATGTATTCCTTACAAGAAGATACTATAGGTCAAATAATTGGTAGACTTAAATTATGTACTAACGGAATGAACAAATTAAAAATAACAGACTGGAAAAATATTTACAACAACTTTAATAGTTGTATTTTCCATATTATACAAAAAAGCTCCTAAAAGTAAGCAATTTAGGAGCTCCAGAAGATAATATGTAAAAGGAATAATGTATGTATTTAATATATTTGAAAATATTCTCAGCCTTTCAAAAAAACAAATTCAGGATAGACTGATAACATCCAATATTTGTGAGAATGTTGAGAAATGAGTTCTTTGGTGAGGATGTAAATTGGAGGAACCTCTTGGAAGGGCAGCTTTTCTCAACATTTAAATTATGTTTTTACCTTATGATATGATTTGTATAAAAGTTGCCTTTCTGAGAAATATGCATATGACACAAAGGAGAACCAAACATAGAAAGTAGGAAGAAATTGTAACCAACCCAGTGTTTCTCCCTAGAGGCATAGTTAAATAAGGTAATTATAGTCCAGATGTACAAATTGCCATTGTTAACTTGCTTACTACGAAGTAGAACTATCAAGGTACATTGTTAAAAAATTTTTTGCTATCTATTAATGTGTTGAGACATTTATATAGAAATTTTAAAAATGCTTCCATTCTCTTTATGTAGCTATGTGTGTATAGAGATATGCAAAAATATCTGAAAGAACAATTATAAAAATATTAGCAATGCTTACCTCTGGAGTAGGAAATGAAGTGGGCTATAAATTTTTACTCTTATTTGAATTTCATATATTGAACATATTATGTAGCTATTTTAAAGAAAAATTTCTTCATTATTGGGTTTCTCGGATGTTTTATTATCAAATTAGAAATTTAAAGTTAATATCAATAAATGAGGGTGAAATTATTTAGTTGATAATTGAATCCTTTCTAATGTCTAAATCTAATATTTTCTTTGGCAGAAGGCGTATCAAAAGACTGCAGTATTTCTTTATTTTGTGGAATATATTTTGAAAGAAGTACAATACAAAGTATTGGCCTTACCTCTTTCTTATTTTACGTTTTCATAAATTTGAAATTCTCAAGTGAGTGCCTTCAAGTCTTTATCTAATTTGTAGCTTTACCTTTTGTCCAGGCCCATCACACTCCAGTGAAGAAAGTGAACCCTGGAGAAGAAAGGAGGAAAATGTTTGAGGTACAATGATTCTGCTTATTTTAAAGCTTCGCAGAAATGCTAAAACGAAAGAAACAAAACCTTATAATATAAAAGCCTCCAAACCTTTCCTCGTTTCTTTCAAACACATCGATAAACTATTTCTTTTTTTAACCTTTCTGAGCATACCTTTGCCATTGGCATACTGACTTCCTTGATTAAAAAATAACAAAATGTTTTTTTTTTATTTAAGGAAGCACTAAGAAAGAAAAGGTTGGAATTTATTGAAAAAGAAAAGAAACAAAAGTACCAGGTAGCTTTTTACTCTTATTTTTCTTCCTTTTCAAATTGTAGATGGTAAGAATGCTGAGTTCTAAGAGGTGTATCTTTAAATTGTTACAGATAAGTTTATGGAAGGCTGAACAAATGAAAAGGCAAGAAAAGGAAAGGGTAAGAGGATGGTTTATTTTTTCCATGATACATTTCTCCCCTGCCCCACACATACTTAAAAAAGAATACACTGATTTCTATTTTATTCCTGAATGTATTACATATATTTTATATTAAATACTTGAAATGGTGTTCTGTTTCTTTTCCCCAAAAGTTGGAGAAAATAAATAGGGCCAGGGAACAAGGATGGAGAAATGTACTAAGTGCTGGTGGCAGTGGTGAAGCAAAGGTATGCATTTGATACCAGTAAAATTGGGTGCTACTGTTATTTTTTCTCCAATTTCACTTTACTCTTTAAAATGCGTATCTGTCTGCTTTTTGATGAACATTTAATTTCTTATCTAGAGTTTTCAGCATTTACTCTGATTTCTTAGTTTTCTTTTGTATATTGAATTAATCACTAATATGTCACTGTTAAAATTGCTTTGAAAGTTTTATGTAAAGATTTATGCTGCACTGTTTATATCAGAAGAATCAGAAATAAAACATTAACAATTTGTCATTTTCCATATAGCCTTAAAAATTAAGTTTCTAGAAGACTGTTTTTAATCTCGCTCCTGCCAGGTTCTCCACACTCATCTTCCTTCATTTCCTACCCCACACTTTATGCTGTATTCAGTACTGAACTGAAGACCTTATTTGTAGCTCCCTTCCTTATGTAATGTAGCTTGTGGAATCTTTTGTCTTTGCACTTTTGTTTCTCTTTACTTGATAGTACCCCTCCTACTTTCCTCCCTCTCAGGCCTACTAGCAAGACTCAGATAGTACTTTTCCTATCTTTATGCCTTCATTCTGAGTCTTGCACTTCCTCTTTTGCCTACCAACTATCTGATACATGCTCTGTCTGTAGTAGACTGATTTTTTAGAATGTTGCCAGGATTCCTGACTGCTGATGTATACCCCTTAACTTTCCTCCCCTTGAGTTATGAATGGAGTCTGTCAATATGGTGGTGTATACTAGCCCCTTTAATTAAATGATGTTATGTGGCAAAAGTTTATGGGATAGTCATATACATGATTATTTTAACATACAAGATTCCTTCATAGGTCACTGGAAGCAGAAATGAAGTCCGGGGAGTTGGACCTCTTTTGGCATGGAATGTAGCAAATATTAACTTGGCAAGACAGTTATGTGGCCTTTAGATTTCTGATTAGTAAATGGGGAAAAAATGATGACCTTGGGCATATACCCACAACACACTGGATTCTGCCAAATCAGTGAGCTTGGGAGAGAAATTGATGAGAATTGTGACCCTAGCTGACACTTCAATTTTTCCCTTTCTGCCCAGGGAGATCCTGAGCTAGGGACTCAGCTAAATGTACCTATAATGTGAGCCAGGGAAACTATGTGGTAATACATGGATATTGTCTTATGAATACTAAATTTATGATAATTTGTTATACAGCAATAGAAAATGCACCATTAGTTTTGTTATTTTAATTTCTATCTAATTAGCTGTTAGCATATCTTTAAAACTGTACCTCCACTGGTTTATGACTATTAATCTTGATATTTAGCTATATAGTATTTACCAAGTTGAATTATTTTCTCCAAAAGTTATGATCTGAATAAAAATTTACTTTATCTAGGTATAAATAATCTGCCCTGAATGTGCATTTTTTATCTCTTTAGATGTACTTTTTCATAACACATGTCAATGATACATTGAGTCAGTTTTTCCAATTCTGTATTAATGTAGACTTATACAGTGCTTTTTAGTCATTTACCTTTAAGTAGAACTTAACTACTTCCTGAGTAATAAAGAATAACTTGGACAGACTTTAATCTTTATTTCTCATGGTTAGAAAGTGAAAACTTATCCCAAGTGTGAACCCAAGAATCTAGTCAAACACTTTGTGCAAGTCCATGAGATTTTGATTGTGCAGATATTGAGATTTTGATTGCTTTTCTGTCCTTCCTTCATATATATCCTCTATGTAATATTTTGCATACATCTTCTGTGTATTAGGTATTTTTCCTGTGTCTAAAGCAGTATTTAATCCTTAAAGTCTACTTTTATCAATCATATTTGATAATAGACAACTTTTCAGTAGTTAAACACTAAGGGAATAACAAATTTTTGTTTCACGTTATAAACTTCTATAATGTTTTCATTGAGGAAAAAATTTATTTTCCCCTATTTAAAGCAAACCCCGTGTTAGTTTCTATACTTATTCCTCAGTTTGAAACACTTGTCTTAGGGTTTTTTTCCTCCTTGCAGTATGGGGGATTGAGCTCAGGGCATTCACAGTGAAGTGTATCCCCGGTTCGCTGTCTCACTAATTTGTACAGGCTGGGATCAAACTTGCGATCCTCCTAGCTCAGCCTCCCAGAGTCCTGAGCATATGTTGCTATTCCATGCTAAGCTATTTGATTTGTGCGTGCTCACTAAGGACCTTGAAGCTCAGTATAGTGTGAATCAAGAAAGCTCCCAAAAAGTAAAATGGAAACTCAACATTAAGGGAAATATTTCAAAATTAATATTATTTATTACATACTTACATTGTGTTTTTATTTTTATAATTTAAATGTCTGAGTTTGACTGGTATTTGAAAAATCTAAGACTTTATATTTCTTATGAATGTTTTTAGGAAAACTGTATGTTCCATATATAGTTTTGATCTTATGGTGATCATAATATGCAAAATATGTATCTTATATTTAGATGTATATCTAATATGTATCTTATAATTTGAAGATACATTGTAATAGTATTCAGCAGTAAAATGGAATACTCTGCACATTCAACAACATAGATCAGTGTCAAAAACAGACGGAACTAAGGAAGCCAGACAAAGGAATGTGTATCATTTAGTTCTGTTTATATAAAATTATAAGAAAGGCGGATCTAATCCATAGTAACAGAAAACAGATCAGTAGTTTCCGGCACTGAGAGGCCATTTGCTACAAAGGAGCAAGGGGAATATTTCTGGGGTAATTGTGATTGTTGTGGTTAGTGAGTGTATCAACCTAGGCTTATAATTGATGAATTTTAAGATTTATAATCCATGCTTCAATGAAGGTGATTTTTAAAAGATTACATTGCTTCAGTACTTTCAGACAGTAATTTCAGCCTGAGTACTGTATAAACATTTACAGAGATGTTTACCTGCTTTTGCTCACAGAAAACTTTAGAATGCATAGTCAAGATATTACCATTGAAATAAATTTAAAAGGTAAACTTTTACAGGAAATGTGATTGATAAAACCTTTTTATCAATTCTGCTTCTGCTTCTTGACTAAAATGCTCATTTTGAAGAAGTACAAGAAACTCCATGAAATTTCCCATCTAATTATATATCTTTCCTATTTCTAGTAGCTTTCTTTTCTTGTACTGTAATTAGAACATGCTTGTTATATATAATTGCTTTGAAGTGATTTTTAAAAATTACAGTGTACAACCTACACTTCTAAGATATTAAAACATTTCTCATCAGATTACACTGAAGCTTTTAATTCTAATTGTTTTGTGGAATTTCTTTTTGTTGTTGGAGGTAGTGTTTTGTTTTGATGCTAGGGATTGAATTCAGTGCCTTAGGCACTGAGCTACATCCATCCCTTTTATGTATTTTTATTTTGGGACAAGGTTTTGCTAAGGTACCTAGACTGGGCTGGAACTTGGAGTCCTCCTACCTCAGCCTCCCAGAGTATTAAGATTATAGGCATGTGCAACTACAACCAAACCTTTGTATCTTTTCTTAACCAGATTTCTTACTTAGATGTTATTACTAGGAAGTTCTTCCTCCTTTACTTTCAATATTCTGGCTACTGGTTTTCAAAACTTCACAAAAGAAAAAAAAAAAAAAAAAAAAGGAAAAGTTTTAAAGGATCTTTCCCTTTAGCCATATCTGTCTTATTTTCAATGCTGTTGACCTCTGCATTTGAGGTTGTCACTTTTCTCATCTTAATGAAGTTCTTCCACAATAAATTGTTTGCTTTAAACTCTGATCCTTTTCTAACATGTCTTTTCTGACTATGAATTTTCCTATGGGGGAGTTCTTGTGTCTCTGATTGAGTCTTTGTATCTTTTCCTTTTTCTTTTATTGTCCTGCAGAGAATCCGTAAGTCCATTGAACATGTTCTTTTTTATTGATTCCCTTTATGTACTTCTTGTCTTCTTGGCTCAGTGTCAGTGCAACAGTCCTCCAGTTAGTTTTTCTCTACTTTGATGTCCTCTTATTTCTGCATGTAATGTATAATATTGATTTATTGACCTGAGAAATATTTTGATATACTATTTGATATACTATTCCTTCTAGAGTTTAAAAATGTTTTCTATTGTGGTTACATGAATACATACATGATCAGTAGCACTAAATCAACCTTTATCTTCAACCTTAAAGCTCCCTGTTTGCCTTCCTTCTAATTATGTTTGTCATCAGTCTTCCTTTCTATCCTATCACTAGCACCAAAATATCTATTTATGTGGCTTATTTTAACTTTTAATTGTTTGACTTGTACCTGGTCTCTCTATTGCATTGCTATCAAGGACAAGTTTGTTTGTTTTTAATTTTTTAACAAGACATTCTTTTAAATAGGGATTTTTATGTTTAATAATTTATTCTAGTTTTATAACCTACTTAGTACATACTACCTAGGAGTATCACTGTTATTCATTTACTACAAGATTGAAATATTTTCTAGTTCTGTGCTTTTTTTGTCCCCGACATATTTGAAAACTAAGAATAAATATCATATTTTGACTCTTTTATTTATATATAGTATGTATTAGGAATGTTTATACCTTCATACCTCCTGTACTTGATGAGTAGATTTAGAGTATGTTAAAAGCCAAGTGCTTTCATTAAATATAAGCTTGTGTGTTGTATAAGCAGGTTCTATTCTTCATAGACGCTATAGACATTTAAATTTCATAGAACAGAGTCACTTGAATTCTTTACTGTAAACTTGTTTCAGAATCTTTTAATTAAGTGCAGATTTCTCCATATGTGCACGAATTTAGTGACATTTTAATGTTTTTGCTTATCCCATTAAATTGTATTAGTAACTAAGAATGCAACTGCTTGATTGTTAATGTTTATAACATAGTATGAGAATATTTTGCTTTTGACCACGTTTATTAATATACTCAAATAATTGCTCTTTGAAAGTTGAAATTCTCACATCTAACAAAAAAAAGTAAGTTGAAATTTACTGTTTCCATTTAAGGGTAGTACAGGACTTTCAAATAGAAGATAAATGTGTGAGAGCTCTTCTTTTAATCCCTAGGCTCCCTTTTTTGGCAGTGGAGGGGCTGTAGCTTCATCGTCTTGTTCTTCTCGAGGACAGTATGAACATTACCATGCCATTTTTGATCAAATGCAGAAACAAAGAGCAGAAGATAATGAAGTGAAATGGAAAGGAGAAGTGCATGGTGGAGGGCTTCCAGAAAGGTATGGCTGTGTTCTGCAGAAGTTATTTGTGCTTTGCTTCAGAGAACGTAATGAAAGTCACTGTGCATATCTATCTGCAGAGAAATTCTACCTGGAGTTCGTCCAGGATTTCCTAATGGGGCTGCAGGTCATCACCATTTTCCTGATGCTGATGCTATTAGAAAAACTTTGAAAAGATTGAAGGCCGTGTCTAAACAAGCCAATTCAAACAGGTTGGACTGTGATGATCCATGAATTCATCCTTGTGTGTAACTGTCTTTTGTCATGCGTAGCGTAGTACCTATACTTGTAGATGTTTTCTTCATTATAATCTTGGAATATTTTTTGTTTCCTTGACAGAATAAATTTTTCAGGTGCAAAATTGGCCCTTGATTACATTATTACAAACACATAACTCTTCTGCCTTATTTTTGTAACTCAAAAGTATTTAAACTAAACATAGTGTGTAAAGGAGCATTTAAAGGAACATGTGATAATTTTAGCCATCATACGGTAGCAATAGTTTCCGCCATTTGCTTTAAATAAATCAGAATATAAATTTCAATGGACTCACATTTTATGTAAAACTCCAAAGAATATTTTATATCTTTTCTTCAAAACTGAGAAGCCCATTTTTCTCTTTGTCATCTTAGCATGTTTCCTCTTCACATTCATCTCTGATTTATACCTCTTTGTGATCGTTTTCAACAGACCTTCCCTATTCTTTTTTCTTTTTTATTTTTTTTTTTTTGTCTTTTTCATTTTTATCGGTACCAGGGATCAAACTCACGACTGCCTGCTTGTAAGGCAGGTGCTTATGCCGCTGAGCTAAATCCCAACCCCTTTCTTATTCTTTTTAAAAATAATTTAATTATGGTAACTGGCAATAACTATAATTTGTATAATCCATTTGTTCATTAGTATACATATGTGTTTTCTTAGACATTCCCATTTCTTCTGTAGAACATTCTGGTGAGTTATAGAACAGGTAACATTTTGTGAAATTTTAGTTATGCATCTTTTCCTTGTAATTTTAAGGTATTCTAAAAATCTTTAAGACTTTTCTTGCATGATAATAGGTGTTTAAAATGTCCTTGAGTACATTTTAAAAGTAAGTGTACTTGAGTACAAAAAACAACTAAGGAAAGTATAAAATAACATTATGAATATATTATAAATTACAAACATACATAAGGTGTGATTCTAGATACTTTCCATTTTTGAAAAAGAAAAGCTCACATGTATTTTTGAATGATAAACCATATTCTGTATGAGATTTTCATCTACCTCTGTTACAGGTCTTTCTAGTGTATATCTTCTAATTAGTAAAGTTTATTTTTAGTGCATTTTAGGTTCATAACAAAACTGAATGGAAAATGCAAAGTTCCAATATATCCTTCATCCAAACATGCACCATGGCCCTCCCTAGTATCCTCCCCTGAGTGAGGTTTCTTGCTCTGGCCTGTTAGTACCTAAATTTTACATTAGGGCTCACTCTTGATCTTGTACATACTATAGCCTTTAACAAACATACAGCTGTATGTGCTGATTATGGTAACATCATATGAAATAGTTTCATTGTCCTAAAAATCTTTTGTGCTCTAGCTATTTTTTCCTCCCTTCTCCTTCCTTCCCTTCCTCTCAGCAACCACAAATTACTGTCTTCATAGTTTTACTTTTTCCAGAATAATATCAAACTAATCGTGTAGTATGTGGCTGTTCTAGATTGGCATCTTTCATTTAATATATATTTGAGATACTTCTGTATCTTTTCATGGCTTGATAGCTCATTTCTATTTAACACTGAATGGTATTCCATTCTATCTGTGTACCACAGTCTATCCATCAACCTGATGAAAGATATCTTCATTACTTGCAAGTTGCCATGTAAATTGTAAATAAGACTGCTACAGGTAATTTGTGTGTAGGTTTTTATTTGGATATGTTTTCAACTCATTTGGGTAAATATACCAAGGAGCATGACTGCTAGATCATATGTGAAGAGTATGTTTAGTTGTACAACAGACCACCAAACTGTCTTAAAGTGGCTGTACCATTTTGCATTTCTATCAGGTTACTCTCACCAGAGGAGCCTTCCCATCATCCTCAATAATGTCAGTATTTTGGATTTGGCCATTTTAATTGGCTATGGGGACATCACACTCATGTTTTCATTGTAATTCTGTAGTGACATGTGATGTTGAGCATCTTTTTGTATACTTTATGCCATTTCTGTATTTTTTTGGTGGTTTGTTTTAGTCTTATCTATTTTTTAAATTGGGCTATTCATTATGTTATTCAGTTTTATTAGTTCTTTGTGTCTTTTGGATAATCTTTATCAGATTTTTTTCTTCTCTTTCAGTGCTGAGGATCAAACCCAGGGCCTCGGGCATGCTAGGCAAGCACTATCACTAAGCTGCATCCATATCCCAGATATGTCTTTTGCAGTCCATGGCTTGTGTTCTCATTTCCTTGATATTGTCTTTCACAGACTAAACATTTGTAACTTTAATGAAGTCCGTTTTACTTTTTTTATGGACTGTGCCTTGGTGTTGTATTTAAAACGTTATCACAATACCCAAGTTCATTTAGGTTTTCTCCTCTGTTGTCTTACAAGGTGCTTCATAGTTTGTGTTACACATTTGTGTCTGTGATTCATTTTGAGTTAAGTTTTGTGGGGGTTGTAAGGTGTGTATCCAGATTCACCATTTTGCATGTAGAAGCCTAGTTGTTTGACAGCATTTCTTAAATACATGTTATTCCCTTGAATTGCTTGTGCTCCTTTTTCAAAGATCAATTCACTGTATTTTTGTGGGTTTATTTCTAAGCTCTCTGTCTCCTGATATAATTGTACACTACATATGTGGTTTAGCCAACACTGTACTGTATTGATTACAATAGCTTTATAGTAAGTCGTAAAATTAGTTTCAATTCTCCTATTTTCTTTTTTTTTTTTTTTCTCAATATTGAGTTGACTATTTTGGTGTGGTTTGTTTGTTTGTTTGTTATTTTTTGCCTCTTCATGTAAACTAAGTCAAGTTGTCAATATCTACAAAATAGCTTGCTGGGATTTTAAGTAAGATTGTGTTAAATCTGTAGGTTTAATTTGGGAGGAATTGACATCTTGACAGTATTGAATCTTCCTGTCCTTTCTATTGTATTGAATATTTTTCTTTTTATTTTATTCTTCTTTGGTATTTTTCTTTAGACTGTGATAGTTTTCCTCATTTTGATCTATGCATATTTTGTTAATTGTACCTACATATTTAATTTTGGGGGTACTAAATGTAAATCATAGCATGCTTTTAACTTCAAAATACACTTGTTCATTGCTGTTAGGAAAGTAACTATGTAGATTAAGCTTGTATTTTGAAGCCTTTTCATAATTGCTTATTAATTTTAGGAAATTTTTGGTCAGTTTTTCAGGATTCTCCACATAGACAATCATGTCATCTGTGAACAAAAGTAGTGTTATTTTTTTCTTCCCAATCTATTACCTCTATGTCCTTCTGCCTTCCTGCTTTATCTAGAACTTCTACTATGATACTGAAAAGCAGAAAGAACATCTTACCTTATTCTTGATCTTAGCAAGAAAGTTATACGTTTATTATCATTAAGTTATGACATTAGCTTTTAGGTTTTTGTAGATGTTCTTTATGAAGTTCTAGAAGTTCCCCTCTTAAGTTTTTTGAGCCTCCCCACCCTGAATGGATGCTGCATTTGAAAAAGTGATTTCTTTTTTACAATTATCATTGTTCATGTGTTCATGTGATTTTTCTTCTTTTGTTTTCTTCTCGGTTTTTGTTTTTTGTTTTTGGGTACTGGGAATTGAACTCAGGGTCTCGTGCTAGCCAGGCAGTTGCTGTGCCACTGAGCTGTATCCCTGGCTTTTGTTTTCTTTTTAGACAGTGTCTCACTATGTGTCAGAGGCTGACCTTGAAATTGCAGTACTCCTGATTCAGCCTCCTGAGTGCTAGGGTTACAGGTGTGCACCACCATGACAGGCAATTTCTCTTTTTTAGCTCATTGATATAATGAATTTTGTCTGTTGAGGCAACCTTGCACATCTGACATAAGTTTCACTTGATTTTGGATATAAATCTTTCTATATATTGTTGAATTCAATGTGCTAATATTTTTGTGTTTGTATTCATGGGAGAATTGGTGTGTAAGTTTCTTATATTTTTGCCTGGTTTGGAAAGTAGGATAATAGTGTCCTCATGAGAAGAGTTCTAAAATATTTCATTTGCTTCTGTTTTTTGGAAGAGATTGTAATAGTAGTGTTTATGTTTTTCTCCCTGTAATTCCATCAGTTTTTGCTTCACGTGTTTTGATGCTCTAAGTACATTAGTATAATTTCTTTTTTAAATATTTGGTAGAATTCAGTGTTTTATGTCCTAGGCCTGATGAGTTTAAGAAGGTCATTAATTCAGTTTCTTTAATGAATATGGGCCTATTCAGAATATTTGTTTCTCATTGGATGAATTTTTGCCAATTATTGCTTTGAGGAATTGGTCTGTTCCATCTAGGTTATAAAATTTGTGGGTAGAGTTGCTTGTAATATTTCTTTATTCTTTTTATGCCTATAGAATTGTAATAGTATGTTTTCTTTTATTTTAGATATTAATAATTGCTGTCTGCTCTCTTTTCCTTAGCTCTGCTAGAGGCTTATTGATTTTTGATGATCTGTTCAGGTAGCCAGCCTTTAGTTTTATTGATTCTTGTTTATTGATTTCCTGTTTTGATTTCATTGATTTGTTCTTGTATTATTTCTTTTGTTCTGCTTCTTTGGATTTAATTCACTCTTCTGTTTCCAATTTCCTAAAGTAGAAGATGAGGTGAGTGATTTTAGATCTTTCTTCTTTTGTAATATATGTATTCAGTGCTAGAAATTTCCCAGTAAGCATTGCTTTTACTGTGTCCTACAGATTTTAACTTATTTAAAAATTTCTCTTGGGCTTTCTTTTTCCAACCAATGTTATTTAGAATATATCAAAATTTTCCTGTTATCTTTCTGATTCTGAGTTTTATATCAATTTGATTATGGTATAAGAACAAACATATCCCTTCTTTTAAATTTGTTACACTTTGTTTTAAGGCCCAGAATGGCCTATTTGGGGTGTATCTATCTGAACTTGAGAATGTTGTTGTTGGATGAAGTAGTTCATAGATGTTAATTACACCAGTTGATTGATGATGTTCAACTATGTCAGTGCTTTTTCTGCCTGGTGGA